ATCTGAGTGTAATGGTGAGCTAACATAAATATGTTCACATACATGTACATGTATTGTGGTTAGAAAAATACATAGTTTGGAGTTAGGAATGAGCATCATGTAAATGTAGATATGATGTAGAATGACATGCTATGAAATATAAATGGTGAGTACTTGGGGTAAAGGGATTGCTTTAGAAGAAAGACTTAAATTTATGGTAATTATGTAATGGGGCTACAATATAAAAACTTTGTTTTCTAAATAAGAATGTGAAGAGAAAGGAATAGCCTCATTTTCTTCATTCTGTAATTTCGGTTTTGTGTATCATTTGTAGGATTTTATTTAGTATCTTTGGTATCTTAATTTGTGCTCAAAAGGAGAATATACTTAACAAAGAGTGTAAAATCACTGTATTGCTTTTTCAGTAGACATTTCTGGAACTACAAGTCAGTTATAGAAATTATTTTTCTGCTTTGACTCCTGTGAATTCATTTACTTAGTATGTCTTTCTCCTGAACCAGCTCTGTTTAAGAGAGCCCTTTAGAAAAACATTAATAACCCACATGTATATGTTAGTTTCTTATTTTTCTTCATGTGTATTAAAATTCTAGGAATTAAAGCCACTTTTTATGAAGGAAGTTGGCAGTCACTTTGATGATTTTGTGACCAATCTCATTGAAAAATCTGCATCGTTAGACAATGGTGGCTGCGCCCTCACAACTTTTTCCATTCTTGAAGAAATGAAAAACAACCACAGAGCTAAGTAAGTGTTAGTTATTTTCTTTGAATGCAGATATCTACTCTGGCGAATCTCAGTGGTCAGAGTATAGACTGCAGTAAAAACGCCTGGATTCATGCCCTGCCATCACTTCAATTGACTCTATGTAGCATTGGGTACATTACTTAATCCCTTGAAGGGCAGGTTTTTCCTTCTTAGGGTGTGAATTATAACACATACATACCTGAAGACTACTGACTAATAATAGTTGAGTGCTCTACATGGAATAACTTATTTAAACCGAATAGTGTCCCTCTGAATAGATATTATAACTGTCTGCATATTACAACTTAGGAAACTGAAGCACAAAGCACTTAAATGATATTCAAGATTAAACAGCAGGGATTCGACCCATAGTCTGCACCAGTCCTTGCTCTTAACCACATTATTTCATGCCTTGCCATTGTACTCTATACAATATGTCTTTATGGGGCTGGGGCTATAGCTCAGTGGCAGAGCACTTGCCTAGCATGTGTGAGACACTGGGTTCGATCCTCAGCACCATGTATAAACATATAAAATAAACATATGTTGTTCATTGAAATTGGGAAGACAAACTAGTAACAATATCTGACCTGGAGTAAAGTATGGCTGCAGGCCTGTCCCTGATCTCAAAGACTCTCTAGAAACAGGAAGAATGGTTGCCAACCTGTGCTGCAGAGAATGCTTTTCCACAGGGGCTGGGTGCTGCACTTAGGTGTGTCTGACATCTCTCCCAACCTAAACAGTTACGCATGTACCCACCTTCACAAATTGTTCCGTAGGAGTAACTGAGATAACATGCACAGAATCTTTAACACAGTACCCAGATCACAGTGAAGGGTAATTAATGTTGGTTGTTGTAGTTAATATCATTTCTCTTGTCCATGGGATTATGTTTCTTATAATATTTGGATTACTTATTTTATTGTATTTTTTGCTTTTTCCAGAGATTTCAGAGCACCTCCAGAACAAGGAAAAATTTTTATTGCAAGGAGATCACTTTTAGAGTGAGTAGTTTTTGCTTTTGTTAATCATTAGTTTGAATTTTCTAAAAAGCTGCCCTGAGTGAGTCTCCTGATTGTAGATTGCTTAATCTATAAATATTTAATGAGTCTTTCTATATCCATATAAGTCATTAGTTTTGATTCTTCTCTTTGTACATTGGGTTCTCTTCCTCCTTCTTGCTGATCTTCTGGTTTTGGATCTAGTTTCACAAGGACAAGGGATAGAGTGACAAGTTTTGTAATGTAGGTAGACTTTTAGATTTGGACTTAAATGCCTCCACTCTTTTTTGCTGGAAGACTTGGTAATTTTCTCATTTATTTTAAAACTTTGATTGCCTAATGCCTTTAAAATAGAATCTATACCATGTAAATTCATTATGGTGACTTCATTTGTGAACTGAAAATTAAAGGTGCATTTTGAGTAGGTGATGAATATTTTTCTTTTATGCTGAGTATATTGTTTACTCATTCAGTAATAGCAAATATAATACTGCTGAAATTAAAATACTGCTGAAATTTAATCTGTGTAGATCATTGAGATAGTTATTTTGTTAAAAAATTATGTTAAGTGTTTTAACCTGCCTGTCTTTAAAAATGCACTGTGTTAATAAGCCTTTTATAGTGTCAAATACCTGAGAAAAACAGCTTAGAGGAGGAAAGATTTATTTTGGCTCACGGTTTCAGAGGTGCCAGTGCATTGCTGGCTGGCTCCAAGACAGGAACGTCAATGTGGAAGGGCACGGCAAAGCAAAGCTGCTCCTCTCATGACAGTTGGGAAGCAGAGGGAGAATGAGGAAGAGGCCCGGGACAAGACATACCCTTTTAGGGCATGCCCCTAGTGACCTACTTTCTCCAACTAGGTCCCACTGCCTAAATTTTCCACCACTTTCCAATAATACCATCAGATATGTATCCTTCTAATGGATTAATCTACTGATAAGGTCAGAGCCCTCATGATTCAATTACTTCCCAGAATCCTCACCTCTGAATAGGGTGTATTGGGGACCAAGCCTTCAACACATGAGTCTTTAGGGTATACTTCATATCTAAACAATAACATGTACCTTACACTCATCAAAATTTACTTTATGGGGCAGAGGTACATGCCAGTAATCCCAGTTACTCGAGAGACTAAGGCAGGAGCAAGAAAGGTTTGAAGACAGAGTGGGCAACTTAGGGAGACCTTGTCTCAGAATAAATAAATAAGGGTTGGTGATGTAACTCAGTGGTAAAGCACTACCCATGTGTTCAATCCCCATTGCTGGAGGGGAAAAATCATGAACCAAATTGATCTGTACCTTTTAACTTCAACAAGAAGGCTAGAGTTTTTTTAAACATGTAATGAAAAATTCAATTTCAGTGGGTTTTGTGACATGATGATTTGACAAGATTGATCTTTTAAATGATATCTGGGGGAGCTGGGCGCAGTGGTGCACACCTGTAATCCCAGCGGCTTGGGAGGCTGAGACAGGAGAATCATGAGTTCAAAGCCATCCTCAGCAATTTAGTGAGGCCCTAAGCAACTTGGTGAGATCCTGTCTCTAAATAAAATACAAAAATGGGCTGGGGATGTGACTCAGTGATCAAGTACCACTGAGTTCAATCCTCTGTGTCAAAAAAAGAAAAAATTATATCTAGGGGGAAATACAGGCTTTTCACGTAAAGGGAAAATAAAATGATTGCTTTGAACATTGTAATTATGATTTTAATGTTAGGATTGTATGTTCTCTATGGGAAAAAAAATAAAATGCACCTTAACAAAAAAGAATGTTAACCAAGGAAATAGAATACATTTTCCATGGCTCAGGTGGATTTTTATTAGAATTTGAAGATCCTTATTCTAGAGATTTAATAGTATTTAGATTTCTCTAAAAGTCAGTAGAGAAAGGTTAACTTGCCACTTTCTATAAATAAGGTTAAATGCTTGCTTTTAGTCAGATATAAAAGGTATTTACTGGGGATAAGTCATCTAGAAGGTATTGCCATTTTAAAAGAAAAAGTTTTAAATATTAGTGAAGAGAAAGGGTGAAGCGTCTGTTAAGTGATTAAGTGTCATGAATGTGCAGGTGGTCGGTGGTCAGCAGCAGCAGCAGCAAAGGAGCTCAGATGTGTCAGGTTGAACATCCGGAATAGGTATATAGCTGAGTGTGGGGAGCTAAGTGTAGTTGTTTCCAAATTCCCCATTTTCAGTGAATGGACTCTGCTTATAATGGAAAACAGTCATTTCTGGTGGGTGTTGTGGAATGCAGACCATTTGTTTAAAGATTTGGCATCATGTTGCTTTCTAGAAGGCAATATAATTTTATTGGAAAGAAAGGTTGAGAATCCATTATAGTTTTACCTTGGTCTGATCATTCATTGTCTCTGTACTGTACTTCAGGATTAATATTTTGAGGTATTTTTGAAAGGTGAATTAAGTGTCTTCTAAACCTACTTTAAAAGAAAAGTCTTTACTATGTGGTATTTTAAAATTAGGTACAGATTTCTAATTTGATTTGTTTGAACTACACTTACAGTGAGCTGTTTGAAGTGGACCACATCAGAACAATATATCACATGTTTATTGCCCTCCTCATTCTTTTTATCCTCAGCACACTTGTGGTAGATTACATCGATGAAGGAAGGTAAGAGAAGAAAGTTGCTAGTTGATGTATGAGAAGTTGGGAGTTATCACTATATTTTAGTAAAGGATAGTTTGGCTAAAAAGAGGATGATATTCCTTTCTCCTGAAAAGTATAACTAAAGAGAAGGTTGGAAGTTTCTTTGCTTTTATTTTAAAAGTACTCAATTTTAATAGACCACGATCAATAATTACTAGACAACTTTCCCTGGGGATTGGGATATAACTCGGTTGGTAGAGTGCCTGCCTCACATGCACAAACTCTGGGTTCAATCCCCGGCACCACCACCAAAAAAAGAAAAAGAAAAAAAGGACTAGGCAACTTTCCCAAACAGGAGGAGATTTTTGTATGTATGATTTATCAGTGTTCTAAGGTGCATATTTAAGACTGTTGCTAAAAATAGGTAGCTTTCTGATTCCTTTTTTGTTGTTGTTGTTGGTGCTGGGGGTTGAACCCAGGGCCTGGTGCACACCAGGCACTCTACCACTGAGCCACAACCCCAGCCCCTTAATATAAAAATCAAGTGTTGGGCTAGGGTTGTGGCTCTGTGGTAGAGCACTTGCCTAGCATATGTGAGGCACTGGGTTTAATTCTCAGCACCACATATAAATAAATAAATAAAATAAAAAAGGTTCATCAACAATTAAAAAATATTTATTGAAAAAAAAATCAAGTGTAAGGGGGTGCAGTGGTGCACACCTGTTACCCAAGCTACTCAAGAAGCTGAGGCAGGAGAATCACAAGTATTTTAGACAGTGTCTCAAAAATATAAATAAATAGAAATGGCTGGAGGTGTAGGTGAGGATTAATATTTTGAGATGTTTTTGAAAGGTGAATTATCTTCTAAACTACTTTAAAAGAAAAGTCTTTACTATGTGTGTTCAATCCCCAGTATACAAACAAACTAAATAAATATTGAATATAACTTAAAAAATAGCAGTGTGGTAGTCATAAATTGAATGTGCATGCTTTTTTTAAAAATTCAATTTTGAAATAATGGTAAAATAGTATATTAGTAGTCTTTTGAATCATACCTATTTCCTTCTGAAAAATCATCTTTTGTACATAAAAATAATTGTTATTGAATATTTTGCCACTTAATATTTTGGTTTTAAAATACTAATGTAAGAATCTGATCTTTCAGAAGTTCAAGGCCATGTCTATCACCTTAGGTATCTTGAGTTCATAGCCAAATAGGGCTTTTAGAGAGTTTGTTGTTGATATGTTGTGAAGCAGAGAGAGGGTTAGACACAGGTCTCTGTCCAGCGAGCCATTATATCCAGTGTAATTATGTTCAGTGTATTAATATTGTATTGTTTATGAGGATTGAAAGTTTGGGGTCTGAAAGTTTTGAATTCTGTACATATTAGAAACTAACTTCTCTATTCTTCCTCTCTGCTTTTTCCTCTCCAGGCTAGTACTTGAGTTCAATCTCCTGTCTTATGCTTTTGGTAAATTTTCTACTGTTGTTTGGACATGGTGTATCATGTTCCTGTGTACGCTTTCAATTCCCTATTTCCTGTTTCAACATTGGGCCGATGGCTACAGCAGGAGTTCTCATCCAGTGATCTATTCTCTTGTCCATGGCTTGATTTTTATGGTCTTCCAGCTTGGAATTCTAGGGTTTGGACCAACATATGTTGTATTAGCATATACACTACCACCAGCTTCTCGGTTCATTGTTATACTTGAACAGGTAAGATTTTTAGTGTTACCCAAAAGGGTGCTGTGCTTAGTTAAATAATAATAACAATAATGACATAATAGTGGTATTATTTTTAGCTGTATTAACATGGGTAAGTTTTCATATATGGCACTGTGTGCCAGGAGATGTAGAATTTAAGTGCTGAACTATATTATCTCATCTTTTTTTTTTTTTTTTTTTGGAGGGGGACTGGGGATTGAACTCAGAGGTGCTCGATCACTGGGTCACATCCCCAGCCCTATTTTGTATTTTAACTGAGGGTCTCAGTTAATTGCTTAGAGCCTCGCTTTGCTGAGACTAGCTTTGAACTTATGATCCTCCTGCCTCAGCCTCCCGAGTCACTAGGATTATAGGTGTGCACTACCGTTCCTGGCATATCATCTTATCTTTTAAAATTCATTCTAGCTCCAGTGTTCTCTAGATGTTAGTAATTGAAATAAATTATATTGAACAGTTCTGGATGAATTAAATTTTTTCCCCCAAATACTTTTTGTAAAAATCATCTAGATGATTAAATATCTTTGTAATTTAAAACTCCACTTTTGGGCTGGGGCTGTGGCTCGGCGGTCGAGTGCTCACTTAGCATGTGTGAGGCCCTGGGTTCGAGCCTCAGCATCACATAAAAATAAATGGGCTGGGGATGTGGCTCAAGCGGTAGCGCGCTCGCCTGGCATGCGTGCGGCCTGGGTTCGATCCTCAGCACCACATACAAAACAGAGATGTTGTGTCCTCCGATAACTAAAAAATAAATATTAAAAAAAATTAAAATAAATAAATAAATAAATAAAATAAAGGTATAAAAAATAAAACTCATTGTATTGTCATGTAACTATTTCCTTCTAAGTAAGAGATTTATCTCAATTTTTATTTTTATTTTATTTATTTATTTATTTTAGTTTTAGATGGACACAATATCTTTATTTATTTTTCTGTGGTCCTGAAGATTGAACCTAGTGCCTCACAAGTGCGAGGCAGGCGCTCTATCACTGAGCTACAGCCCCAGCCCTTATCTCAATTTTTTAATATATCCTTTAGAATTTTCTAACATATATTGTCTGTAGCACTATTTGACTAATAAAGACCAATTCAGAATTTCTTTGAACAGACTTGATTTCTTTTTTTTTCTTTTTTTTTTGTATTGGAGATTGAACCCAGGGGCACTCTACCACTAAGCTACCCAGACCCTTTTACTTTTAATTTTGAGATAAGGTCTCGCTAAGTTGCTGAGCCTAGATGGAGATCCTTTTGCTTCAGCCTCCTGAGTCACTGGGATTATAGCATGCACCACTACCTCCATCTTGAACAGACTTAATTTCTTAATTTAGATTATTATAATATTTATATTAATAATGCTGTTAGGTACAGAATAATTTGGGTAATTACATGTCCTTTAGGGTTTGTTTTTTTAATTTGCTTTATTCCATAAAAGTGAAGTTCTTTAGTGTCAATATAATCTAGTTCTGGGGTTGCTTATAGGAGATAAGGCAATGATAGAAAATTCATCTTTTCCCTCTTCCTTTTGTAGATTCGTTTGATAATGAAGGCTCACTCATTTGTCAGAGAGAATGTGCCACGGGTACTGCATGCAGCTAAGGAGAAGTCGAGTATGTAATTCCATTAGAGTTATAGGATATTTCAGCCTTTAGTGTTCACTAGGAAGACATGTTACATTCTGTAGAGATGATACTTATTTTTAAATACATCGATCAGTGCTGATTTGGAAGACTGTTTACTGATTGTCCTTGTACCTACAATTAAAAAAAAAATTGATCATTAGACTCTTCTGTAACTTCTTATTGTGGACTGTTACTAGCCTCATTAACAACTGTGCCTACTGCTGATAACAGTTCACAATGCAAAATTACAGAAGAGTCTAATGATTACCAAGCACCAAGAGTGCTTCACACTCTGGAAATTATCTCAGTCACAGGAATAACTTAGATTGATAATGTTCAGTTAATGCAAGAATAGGTTGTTTTAGGAGACCAAGAGGAAATAACATGAGCTTAGAGGTCATGTTTTTCTTTGTCCTGTACTTCCTTATTTCCCCCTTTTAGTTTTGCTGGGAGAAATCAAAGAGCCTCTGATCTAATACTGTTTTTTCTTTTCTAGGCATGATTCCAATACCCACAGTCAACCAGTACTTGTACTTCTTGTTTGCTCCTACCCTTATCTACCGTGACAGCTATCCCAGGTAATAGCATTATGAAATAGAACTGTGGTGAGCACTGGAGGTATAGAGGGGTGAGATGGGTAGGTAGGCAGAGGCCAGGTCATGTAGGGGTACAGAGATAATAGAAAGTATCCTCATTTTTTTCTCTGATATGGGAAGCCTTAAATGGTCATTCCAGCAGTCTAACTTGGTAATATTAATTCTTGGAAGAATTATATTATAATTTTGTATGATCATAAATGATACTAAGTAATTTTTTTTTGTTTGTTTTGGTGCTAGGGATGCAAACTAAGCATGTGCTGTACCACTGAGCTACTCCCCCAGCCCATAAATGTTACTCTGTGTGGAAAAATACTAATTGTGAAGGTCATTATTTAAATTCAGTTACATACTTTAGAAAACTTATTTTGTTTCTTCTTTCTTTAGAACTCCCACTGTGAGATGGGGTTATGTTGCTATGCAGTTTGCACAGGTAAATTGTTTAATTGCCTAAGGTGTGTTGATTGGAAAATGGGGATTCATATTATAATGTAATCTATTCAAAATGGTAAATGTGTGTCAATGAGGAGCTTGAGAATGCTTTCTATTGAGACTATGAAATCTTTTAAAACAAATATGTAGTATTTTTTTTTTTTTTGCCAACATCAAAGATAATTTTCTTCAGGAAGAGAAATTATTTTAATTGAAGTAATTCTGTTTGGTTATTTCAGTAAGCATCTATGTTAATTTTCCCCTCTCTGTACTTTGGGGTGGGGAGATATGTTTGTGGGTATGGTCCTTCACTCCATTCCCACTCCATTGTGAAAATCATAAATCCCAGAAGATCCCATTTAAATTGTTTCTAATACCCATTTATTTATTCTTTTGTTTAGGCTTCATGTAGTAGGAAAAACAGTTCTTAGATGATCTTTTAAAATGTCAGAGACTGAGGTTGTAGCTCAGTGGTAGAGCACCTGCCTTGCATGTGTAAGGCACTGGGTTCAATCCTCAGCACCACAGAACAATAAAGTAAAGGTATTGTGTCCATCTCAACTAAAAGAAGTATCAAAAAAATGTCATTTGGTAAAGGTTAATAAAAATTATGGTAGAGACTAAGCTTGAGTACCTGTTTGCTATTTGTTTTGGTGGTACTAGAGATGGAATCCAGGGCCTCTCATGTTCTAGGCAAATGCCCACCTCTGTGTTACACACCAGTTTTTATTTTATTTTATTTTGAGACAGGGTTTCTCTTAAATTGTCTGGGTGGCCTCAACCTTGTAGTCCTGAGTAGTCGGGATTATAGGTGTGCACCACCTCACCCAGCATAGTAATCTTATATACCAGGGCTAACTGAAATATATATGAAACATTGGTTTAAGTGTCGCATTGGTTTAAGGGTCTTTTGGAACAGAAACATAAGCTTTATTTTTTCTCATTAAGTCATCAATTTTCTAATCATCTTTGTTTTGTTTCAGGTTTTTGGCTGTCTATTTTATGTGTACTACATCTTTGAAAGGCTCTGCGCCCCCTTGTTTCAGAATATCAAACAGGAGCCCTTCAGTGCTCGTGTTCTGGTCCTGTGTGTATTTAACTCCATCTTGCCAGGTATAGTGGGTCCTTGTTAATTCATTTGTGCAGAAGGAAAATAGCCACTGCCTCTGAGCACCTTTGGTTTTCCTCCTTTTTCCTGTAAATGCATCTACCCACTTATGCCATCTTAAGTAACCTCTTTTCCTTCTATCTCAGAAATGAAGTGTCCTTCAAGTTTCAGGCCAATTTTTCTATTTATCTATTAGCTTTCACTTAAGTTTTGCTTTCTCTGATGGTGAATGTTCCATATTTATTATGTTTTACCTTCCTTTTCACTATTTAGTTCACTATTATCTTGCTCTCAGTCTTACCAGGTTACTGAAATGTCCTTTGTTAAAATCATTAGTAACCTCCTGACTTTTAAACCCAGCACGTGATTTAGCCCTTATCCAATTTGACCTCCATGATGCATGGGATATTCTGACCACATGTTGAAATCTCACTTGGTATCATTTCTTAGTCTCCTTTTCTTTCCAGCCATATCTCCATCTCTTAACTTCATTTATTCCATTTATTTTTCTAGAGATATATGAGTACCTACTATGTGCCAGATGCTGAGGACTTGGCAATGAACAAGACATACACAGTCTTTACCCTTTGGGATCTTGCAATTTGTAGTTTCCTTGACTTCCTCTTCTTCGTTCATTCATTAAATGTTTTGTTTTGTTGTGTAAGTTTTTATTAAACATTGGTAATATTTTGTCATTACCATCTCTCCTCCTTTCCCTTTCTCACAGGCTTCTTCAGGTATCCCTCCCTCACTATGCCCAAGACTTAATTTCAGTGAAGTCCACATTGTCCCTATGATCGGACGAGTATTGCATACTTGGATACCTTCCTCACCAGGCCTTCCTTTAGGAATGTGTCCTAAAGCCAGTCAGTCAATATCCTGTTGTCTGGCACATAGTAGATGCTCTATAAATATTTCTTGAATAAATGAATGAGAGAGGTGGACAAGTCAATGGATGTTTCACCTTGTAGTGTGTACGGCTACTATATAAATAGGGTAAATAAAGTGCTTTTGGGCTTTGTTTCATACTAGAGATGATATTTAAGGTTGAGTATTGAAAAACAGGTAGGTGTGTGCCTGCAGGGAAGAGGTAGAAAGGTCTGTCAGAGAGTAGGGTGGATGCAAATGCTTGAAATGTTTTGCAGAGGCCGAAATTCAGTATGGATGGTGTTTACAACACTGGAAAGTTATTGGAGATAAGTTTAGACCAGGGTATGTTAACCTGTGACCATTAACATTTTGGGCTGGATAATTCTTTTGGGTGGCTCTCTTATAGGTTGTCTAGCAGCATCCTAGCCTCTTAACAACCAGATATCAGTGGTACAACCCCTACTCCTCCAGTTGCGACAACCAAAGTAAAGGGAACAAAATCTCCCAGTTTTAAATAGTTGGTTTAGGGGGACATCGTGAGGATTAGGGTTTTTTTTTAATATATATATATTTTAGTTGTTGATAGACCTTTATTTATTTACATGCAGTGCTGAGAATTGAACCCAGTGTCTCATACATGCCAGGCAAGTGCACTACTGTTGAGCCACAACCCCAGCCCCATGAAGGCTAGGTTTTAAGGGGCCCTGGATACCAAGTTAAGCCATGTATCAAGATATTTCTTAAAAATAGACTGAGTCATCTATTGTCTGTTAAACCCATTTGGAAGGAAGTCATTGCTTTTTAAAATTAAAAAAATATTAACTTTTTGGGGGCTGGGGTTATGGCTCAGCGGTAGAGCGCTTGCCTCACATGTGCAAGGCCCTAGATTCGATCCTCAGCACCACATAAAAATAAATAAAAGTTCTTGTGTACAGCTACAAAAAATAAATGTTAAAAAATATTAACTTTTAAAAGTAAATGTTTCAGGGGCTGGGTCATAGCTCAGTGGTAGAGTGCTTGCCTAGCATGTGTGAAGCACAGGGTTCGATTCTCAGCACTGCATATAAATAAATAAAGATCCACTGAAAATTAAAAATGTATATATATTTAAAAAAGTATATGTTTCATCTGTGGGATGGGTAAACTAGAATAACAATTTATATTTTACAGAATAATTCCGGCTGAACAAATGATGTAGAATTAATGGCTTGGTATGTGAGCTATTTGGAAAGATTCTTCATATTGTCAATCTTATTTTTAGGTGTGCTGATACTGTTCCTTGCTTTTTTTGCCTTTCTGCACTGCTGGCTTAATGCCTTTGCTGAGATGTTACGCTTTGGTGACAGGATGTTTTATAAGGTAATATACATTTGGATTCATCTTCCTCTTCCTATTTTATTTATTTCCTCATTGTTAAGTATTTGAATACTTTTGGCTGATATTAACCAGCTTTTTGATTCAAACATTGTGAAATAATTTTATTTTCCACAAATTTTACCAGTATTAAGTCTGAAATTCTGATAACAGGTTAATTAACATAGCCTCATCTTCTGCTTCTAACATCTGCTTCCATAATATAGCGTGTGGTTTCTGCTGAATCCTCTAAAGATATATTGGTGATTATGGTAGGACAGCATTTGTCCCAAGGGCATTATATAAGACTTCCCCTGACTGTTCATTCATTTGAAATTGGCTGTCTTATTCTGTAAGAGTGACCTCAGTCAATTAGTCCTCAGTAAATTAGCCGTTTATGAGGGAATTAACTTTTCCCTTCTTTACTTTGAAAGGTATTGATTCTGCTTATATTCTTAATACTTCTGAAGTTGGAGTTAAGGTGTAGCCAGAGTGGTTCATAGTGATCCACAACGCTACCCTCAAGTCTACTGCTCTTTTCTTGCAGTGTGTGTTGCAAATTTTAGATGTCTGATTCTGTTAGTCTGGTCTTAAAATTGGGAATAAGACATATAAAAAGGAAGGGATGTGGTTACAGCTCAGTGGTAGGGCGCTTGCCTAGCATATGTAAGGTACTGGGTTACATCCTCAGCCCCACATAAAAATTAAATAAATAAATATAGTGTGTCCATCTACAACTAAAAAAATTTTTAAAAATGATATACAAAGGGATACCAGGACTTGGAAGTAAGTACCATGTCAGTTCTTGTGTAATTAAATCTTTATATACCACCCCCAACTTTTTTTTTTTTGTACTAGGGATTGAAACCAGGGACATTTAAAACCACTGAGCCACATCCCCAGTCCTGTTTTGTATTTTATTTAGAGACAGGGTCTCAATGAGTTGCTTAGGGCCTCGATAAATTGCTGAGGCTGGTTTTGAACTTGTGATCCTCCTGTCTTAGCCTCCCAAGCCACTGGGATTACAGGCGTGCACCACCATGCCTGGCCCCAACAACTCTTTAATATTCGCACTCAATCTAGTCTTTGTGACCTTTTAATTCTCTCATTGTTTTAGCAAGATGGGCAGGGGTTTACTAATTGCTGTTTAAATGAACATTAGAGATTTAAATCATTCTGTATTTTCTGTATTTTCCATCATAACTTGTTTGATAATGAGACAGAATTACTCTAGAGACTTAATCATATGTAGCACTAGAATAATGTCATACTAAACACTAATAAATAATACCTTTTAAGATTTTTTTTAAAAAAATTTTTTTTTAGTTGTAGATGGATACAATACCTTTATTTACTTGTTTTTATTTTTATGTGGTGCCGGGGATCGAACCCAGTGCCTCTCACATGCTAGGCAAGCGCTCTACCACTAAGCCACAAACTTGGCCCCGCCTTTTAAGATTTTTCTAATGTTTGTATATGGACTAGCAATTTTTCAGAGTATGCTCTGATTCTGTGTCATATTTGCATGTTCCTTGGGACTATTCCAGGGTTTTGCTTTAGAGGGGTGTGGGTGTGGGTGTGTATGTGTGTGTGTGTGTATGTGTGTATGTAATCTTATACCTTTACTTTCCCCCTCAGGATTGGTGGAACTCTACATCATACTCTAACTATTATAGGACCTGGAATGTAGTGGTCCATGACTGGCTATACTACTATGCCTACAAGGACCTTCTCTGGGTAAGCAGCAAGAGTTAGCTCATGCTATTTAAAAAATGGAGATCCTTTCCTACAAAATATTGTCCAGGCGGGAAGAAGTTATACTTAATTGCTCATAATCACCAATAATGGATTGCTTCTTATGAATCTCTTTACCAACAAATAGTCTCCTTCTAGCTCTTTTTCATTTGGTTTTGTTTCTTTGTTATAAATGAAGAAATACCTGTGTGTGGATTTTTCTCTCCCATCAATGACACATGTCTGTGAGACATTCTTTGTAATAGAATGTATTTAGACTGATGAAATTATTATTTTTTTTTCTTTTGTGGTAGTGGGGATTGAACTCAGGGGCACTTTACCGCTGAGCTACATCTTTTTTTTTTATTTTGTATTTTGAGACAAGATCTCTAAGTTTCTGAGACTGACCTCAAATTTGCCATCCTTTGTCTCAGCCTCCTGGGTAGCTGGGATTATAGGATGTACCACCATGCCTGGCTGCTGAAATGTAATCTTAACTCTTCTGGTTAACACTAGAATCTATGGATTACAGTTTTTATTATTAAATAAGGGGATCATTTAAGTGACAACCTCTTTGGTGGAAATGGTAATGTATTTGAGTGCTAGTTCTGTTTTATGTGTGGCTTCACATATGGGATGAGGCAAGTCCCTTCTCCTTTCTAAATTTTAGCTTTAGAGAGGATGCCTGCCCTATTTTCACAGTACATCGTTGCTCTAAAGATTGAAATTTGATGTCTTTGTTTACATATGAAAATTGTTTTGTTAGCCATGGTAACTCACAAATGTAAGCTCAATTAATTTAATTAAAAATTAATGTCTTTGAAAGTAATCCAGATCTTTGAACATTAATGCTTTGGAAAATGCATCATTTTAATAAAACAAGTGTTTAAGAGCATGTTTTCTGTATTGATTTTAATAGATTTGGGTTAATCCAAGGAGTAAACTTAGTCAAGTATAAATAAAATTTTCTAGGTGCCCTTAGCATATGATAATGTCTTATGTGGTTCATGCTTAATTACTTAAAAATTATTTTAAAATGTTACTTTTACATATTTTCTTTGTACCTTAGTTTTTCTCAAAGAGGTTCAAGTCTGCTGCCATGTTAGCTGTCTTTGCCATATCTGCTGTAGTGCATGAGTATGCCCTTGCTGTTTGCTTGAGCTATTTCTATCCAGTGCTCTTCGTGCTCTTCATGTTCTTTGGAAGTGAGTATCTTGGCATGTTTTGAATCCTGGGTATTATGCTGAAAGAGAAAATCAGGAAGGAAACTATAAAATCAATATAGAAAAATGAGAGAATAGTAATGACCATTTCAAGGCAGTGTATATCAGAATAATGGCTTTCAGTAATTGCATAAAACTCTGTTTCAAGGTGTTTACACTTTTAAGTTAGAGAAATAAACTGGTTTATCTCTTGAGGACCATTGATAACAATAATTTGAAAAAACATGAAATCTATCTAAACAACTTCCTGATTCATGCATACTATCAGCATGCACTGCCTGGGAAACTGACCATTTTTTGAGTGGGTATATAGGAAAAAATTAAAATGCTGATAATTTCATGTTTTAGATACTGTTGATTTCCTACTGATTAGTGGTTATTAAATTTAGACAATCAAGCTTCCTTTTTATTTATAGAACCAATGACCAGAATAAAATACATATATGAACTGTTGATGCTCAGTGTAATGATTAAATGATTGCAGCACATAACTGAGGCTGCTCATCTCCTGATTTTTTTTTTTTTTTTGTCACTAATGGATTATGTTTTGATAAGTGTGTATATTTTTGTTTTCTAACTTTAGTGGCTTTCAACTTCATTGTTAATGATAGTCGGAAAAGGCCAATTTGGAACATTATGGTGTGGGCTTCCCTTTTCTTGGGCAATGGAGTCATTTTGTGTTTTTATTCTCAAGAATGGTATGCACGTCAGCACTGTCCTCTGAAAAATGTGAGTCTTCAATTCAGTTAGAATGCAAAAGTAACTTCCTTGTCCTCTGATGTAAGGGTTGGTGGGCAATATTAAGAAGGGTAGTTGTGATTATGTTGAAATAAAGAGTAAAAGGCGCTCATTTATTATCACACCTTCTATGCTATCCTTGAAGTTTCTTCCTTCTTGGGTTTTTTTCACATTGAACTCTCCTAGTTTTTGGTTTCCTTTCTTTCTTCTTCTTTTCCCTCCTTTACTGCCTTTTCTTCAGCTTCTTCTAATTTTCTTCCTGTCTCCTGAAAATGTAGGTATTCTCCAGGGTTTTCCCAGCAGCATGTATGACCCTACCATCTAAATATGTTTTTCATCTCTTTCTTCCCAAATAAACTCTTATAAAAAATGTCGGACAACATTGATATGCCTAGAATTCCACACCCCCCCCTTTTTTTGTAATTATACTCGGGTTTCATTGATTCTTAGGGCCTTGTTTTTTAGCTGTATATGGATAACTTCCAAATTTTGAGGGGGGTTGCATTCTTGATATATTAGCCTGGGTGTATCTTCCACACATCTATAGCTGTGGATATCTATAATAAAATTAATCAGCTTTCCCTATTGTTCCTTTTTTTGCAGACTTTGTCTCCGTTATGTAGCTTTAATCCTCCCTTCTTATTTCCTATTGATCCCCTGTGTGCATCTGAACTAATCACTCTTGACTCTAGACTCTACCCTGGTCATGCTGCTCTTTATACTCGGAATCCACGTCAGATTTTATTCTCCTATCAAAATCTAATTTGGAAGGTCTGTTTTCCATGAAGCTTCTTCAAATTTTTGTTCCCATCTTATTTCTAAAATTTCATAGTACTTAGTCTGCTTCTCCTTTAAATAGTTTAGTACCTTAAAACCTTATATTATGGTCATTTTGTGTACATATTTTATCATCCTTAATCTATCACTATTTTGATTTTAGGACACAAAGTGGGATTTTGCTAAAATAAGAAGGCAAGGTGCTGAAAGGCCTAGTACCTATTTAGAATTTGGTCAGCAGTTATGTAATTGTGTAGAGTTTATTGAACTTCAGAGACTTCATGTGAAGCTTCTAAGTTGAATAAATCAGTGCTATAGATGAAAATACCAAACACCTTTGTATTAGTTTCTTATAGCTTAAAGGTTTCTGAATGGCTGGGGGGCAATTTAGAGATGTATACTGTATAACATTACACCTCTCCCACCACCATAATTTATATATATGGTATACACAAATAAAACATTCCTTCTTTTTTTTTTCTGTCATAGCCAACATTTCTGGACTATATCCGGCCACGTTCCTGGACTTGCCGTTATGTGTTTTAGAAGCCTGGACTATTTCCATCCTCATCACTGAAGATAGGATATTCTGCCTGATTTGGGGACAGCTGTATAATTTGGACTATTCCAGGCTTTACAGATGGCTCACTCCATTCCTAGCTCTCCTGGTGCTGGATTGTTGGGAGTTCACTGGAATCTTGTATGCTTAAGAGGACTTTTTTCCCCTTTTTGGGAGAAGGGAGACTTATAGCTGAGGTAATGACAGATTTTTGCTGGGTCATCTCAGCTTAAGCCTTGGTAATTATATCTGTTTTATTCCTTCACTTCATCCAATCAGAGACTAAACATACTTGTGTGGCCACTGAGTTAGCCAAAACACTTAGGAAGTATCTCACTTTAAGTATCTCTGGCTTAGAGTTGTTTTCATACATGTTGTTGGAAGGTATTTTAATTAAACATGCAATTGGAGAAGAAAGGAAAATAAAGATTTTTTTTTGGTATTTCTTGTAGAAAAGAAAAAAATATCAATTTTCCAAAGATAAATTTGTTATACATTCCATTTTATATTTTTTTAAAAGTTCAGATCTACTCAGTTTTTCTTTCTCTATACAATATTGTGAAGCAATTAGCTGCCTTTCACCTTGAATTCTCGAGTTTATGTCAGTCACAGTATATATTTGAGGGGATCAGAAGTAGCACAAGAAGAACATTTCTTTGTTTGATTCCAGAGTAATTTAAAAAAAAATTTCTGAGTCAATGATGTGTTTCAATTACATGGAAGGTTTGTTAACTTTAAGGTAATAACTTCTTTGAAGTTATTTAGAAGTATCCTTTGCTGCAATTATTTTATTTTCTAATAAACAGTGACTTCCCTTATTTTACAGACTAGCGAGTCATATATAACATAATATTAATCTCCTCAGTTAATAGTAAAGTGATCATTAAGGATCCAGAAGCTGGCTTCTGAAGCAGTTGCTCAATGGTAGCCTATTTTTAGATAAATATGTGACTGTTATCCAGGAAATGTACTCTATTATGTGATATTTCCAGGATATAAGATACTCATTCCTAATACAATGTGGTGTGTAAAATAATGTTTTTCTTTGTATGTATGAAATATTATTATGTTTATAAAGTTTGCACATTGGAAGAGATATCAGATACCATATAGTTCAACTTTCTACCCCCCCAAAAGTGAGACTTACATATTATTCAAATGATTATTGTTAGCTGGAGCAGCCACTTGAGAGATTATTGATATCCAGATAGTTTTGGTATATCTTTTTGGATGTTTTTTCACCACTGTTCTACAGTCATTTGAATCTCACAAGAAGATAAGGTGGAGTTTCTTAACCGTCACACCTAGTTTGGACCACAGGTCTCCAGCTTAAGATCCCATTTTGTTTACCATACCTTTGAATCAGATGAGTTGAGGCAGTTTTCAAACGTAAGACCCAGTTTAAAAGACACAAGTTCACCTCAAAACAAGTTATTAAAAAATTATTCTGCATATTTCTAAGAAGTAATGTAATAGGACCATAACCCCTAACAAGAGTACTATACCTTGTAATTTCTGAAATATTTCTTGAAAGTTAAAATGAATCAGTTACTTGAATCTGTCACTGCATTTTAAATATGAGGATTGCCAGGCATGGGGACTCACTTGTAATTCCATCAACTTGGAGGCCAAGGCAGGAGGAAAAAAAGGTCAATGCCAGCCTGGGCAACTTACGACCTGGTTTCAAAATAAAAAGGGCTGGTGGTAAAGCACCCCTGGATTCAATCCCCAGAAACAAAACCAAACCCCACTACATGTAATGAGGGAACAGACTGGCCTAAGATTTGGTTCTGAATTTGCCAATCTTTTGAAGCAAGAGAATGAAATGCTTAGTTGTGCATTTCTGTGAAATACTGGAGTCTTGCATTCTTGCAAGAGGACTCTGTTATGTAGCAATTCTGAATACTGTATTGGACTGGTCAAGTTTTTTTTTTTTTTTTTTAAAGCTTTCCCATTTTTTTTTTAGTAGTGATTTGTTTTTCTGCCTGAGATTTTAAGTAATAATTAATGATGCATATAGGATTGTAGTGTTTAGAATGCCAGCTGTACTGAGAAACATTCAGAAACACAGAAACACATTAGTACTTAAAGGAATGGCCACTTTTTTGAAAGGAGATTCTTACTGCTGGCTACTTTTAGCAAAAATCTTTTCTTTAAACCACCATCTACATGCTAAACAAAACTAAAACCTCTAGCTAACATGTTTCAGGAAGATTTGTTTGTTTCCTATTTTGCTAATGCAGTAAAGTTATTTTAAGTTATAAAATGGTACTGTTTTTTCTTCTGAAAAGTAATGAATTTAGAATTCTGTAAGAAGTATTAATGATAATAACCATGATTTTTGTGTGGTAATACAAGAAAACTTTAGTATGTGTACAGCATTTAATTTTTCATTAGACCTTTAAGTTGGTCTTTTAGTACCTTTTATGTGTGGGATAAATGTGTTGATACTTTTATTCTGAATCCTGGGTAATGAAAACAATTGTTTTTTGTTGTTGGTGGTGGATTGATGTACTAAAATTTCCTCCGTAAAACTGTTCATCCCATATTAGAATTCAATTATAAGATAATTAATTGAATCTGCTTTTAACCTGATAGTAACTACAACATTTGGAAGCAAAGGAAAATATTTTTCCCCTTTTCAATATGTGCAAGGTAAAAATTGCTAATATCGGCAAGAAAGTACATTGTAGGCATGGGGATGTAGCCCACTGGTAGTGCGCTTGTCTAGCATGCTCAAGACCCTTGGTTTGATCCCCAGCACTGCAAAAAAATAATAAATAAGTTTGCAGGGGGCTGGGGTTGTAGCTTAGTGGCAGGGTGCTCGCCTAGCATATGTTCGATTCCCAGCACCATGTAAAACTAAATAAACAAAGTAAAGGTATTGTGTCCACCATCTACAACTAAAAATATTTAAAAAAATAAGATTGCAAGTTTGAGGCCAGCTTCAGCAACTTATGAGAACTTGTGTCAAAATGAAAAATAAAAAACGGGCTGGGGTTGTGGCTCAGTGCTAGAGTACTTGCCTTGCATGTATGAGGCACTGGGTTCAATTCTCAGCACCACAAATAAATGATTAAAATAAATAAATAAATGATTAACATAAAAGTCCATCAATAACTAAAACAATAAAATAAAAAACTGGGCTGGGGATGTAACTCAGTGGTAGAGCACCGTAGGTTCGATTCCCAGTACTGGAAAAAAACACTTATCATTTTTTGTCTATATCCCTAAAAAGATGTAATAGTTGTTGATACCTCTCACGTAAAGAAATCTTTGTTTTGTAAGGGTATAATTTTGAGTTAAGTCCAGTTGTTTTGTTGGGTGGGGGTGACATTATCACAGAAACTAACATAACTAGTAATGAGGTGGCCTGATACAGTACACTTTTGTTTCAGTTTTGGAATGTTACTCTTAAACCAGTAGATAAAACCAATAGACTAGAGCTCCTTCAGGTTGAAAAAGGGATGGTGGGCCTGGACCTCTTCTTGCTTGGTGCACTCATTCTCTCCTACCCCAGCATACTCAGTTTGAAACCAGTAGTGTGATTAAAAAGAGAATTGGCTTTTGATTAAGATAGCCCAGTATTTATTAGCAACATGAGTTGGGGCAAAATTGCTTAATTTATCAGAGCCAGAATTTTCCTCATCTGTAAAATGGGGATAACAACTACCTCACAGAATTGTTGCAAAGCATTATCCCTGGTAGACATATGGTCTCATTATTTTCCTTCCCTAAATTTGAAACCCAGGTCCCTACTGGTGTCTTAAGAATGTGCCTCTTTCTTGCCAGGGACAGTGATGAACACTGTAACCCAAGGGACTCAGGAGGTTGAAATAGGAGGATCACAAATTCAAGATTAACTTCAAGAAGACCCTCAACAACTTAGTGAGACTCTGTCTCAAAATAAAAAGGACGGGGGCTGTAGCTCAGTGGTAAAGCTCCCTGAGTTCAACCCCAGTATCTGGGGCGGGGGTAGGGGTGGGTTTTTCAAATGCTGCACTTGTATTTGTCTTTTAAAATACATCCTCAGGATGATGCGAATTGGTGCTGCACTTTGATAGATTTTCCCATGACGGAATTAACCTGGTCATTTTAAACATGATTGTTACAGGCACTTGCTCTTATTTCCATCTTTCCAATGTTGTTATCAGGTTTATCTGCTTTAGCATTATAAGGTAGCAAGCTTCTAAAAGGAAGTATTGCTGCTATTACTTTAAATGTTTAGAACTAGTGTGTCTATTTTATAGCTAAGTTTTAGAATTTATGGAGGGGAAGGAAACATTAATGAGAACTCATTTCTACCAGTGCAAAGAAAGCTTATAGTCTTGGAAGGCAGAAAAAATTTCTTAATGGAAAATAGCTCACACTTTTTGTTAATGAAGTTTAACAATCTTGTGCAAAATTTAATGTAGTTTATTTAATACTACACACACAAGCTAAGATGTGTCTTCAGCATTGTTTCACATATCTTATCTCTAGGCTTTTAGCTCAAATTAAAGACTGGGACATAAACATTTTGAGGAATACTGTGAATGCCATTAGTGAAGTTTTTATAGCAATTTGATTCATTTTTAACATCACTATCAGCTGAGTGTTGAAAACCTTTGTTGAAATAAAATATTACAGATATGCCCGGTTTACAGAGATGATAAACTACAACTAGTCTGGCTGAAGCAAGGAGAGTACAGCCCTTCCCCACCTTAAATTTAATGCCTACTTGAAAATCAGTAGACAATAACAATAATAGTTACTAAACTTTAGTAGGAAAGCTGTATAATCTACATAAATCTATCTAAATGCTTAATAAAACTGTTAAGAGTGCAAAGAATACTTATATAGAGTATTTTTTTTTTCTTCTAAATTTGAGATGGGGTCTTGCTCTGTTACCTAGGTGACTTGAGCTCCTGGTCTCAAGCCATCTTCCTGCCTTAGTTTCATCCGTAGCTGGGACTACAGATATGCACTACTTCACCCAGCAAGAAATTAACAGGGAATTTGGACTTGAGAAAAAGAATGGATTAATATTGGAAGGGATACGTTTTTGTTTTTGTTTTTTTTTAAATCTAATACTGCCTCTGTCTTCCTTTTTTTATTTTTTATTTTTTTTATGTCTTCCTTTTTCCTAAATGTTGATCCTTATTTTTACATTATTACGTTGACATTTCTGCCTTTTCCAATGGAGTGCTGACCTTCAAGCTAGTGGAATTTTGTCTTGATGAAGTGGTAGCTGTACTTTGTTTTTAAAACCTGTTGAAACAGGCAGTTCATGCACCTAGTTGTTCAGAAATATAATTTGAATTTTCTTGTGCCAGTGTGCCAATTCTTGGATGGAAATGAGCCTGGAGTTAAGCTTCTCTCAGTTGGGCCAGTGCAGCTGCTTTCTCTCTGTACCTCTCCATTTTAAGTACTCATCCATAGTGTTCTGAGATAAGCAGAAGGTCACAGAAACCCAAAGTTGTTTTTAAAGGATTTTCTACAATTAAAGACATTTTCTCTAATTCTTGTTTGCTCTTTCCCTGAATTATTCTTCCTTCCTCTCCTTGCAAGTCCTTGTTTGTCTAATCATTGTGTGATGACTTTTAGTATGTATTGTATTAACATTAATCTCATGTTTTAAACTTTAAAAAATATATCTGCACACAAGATGGAAAAATATTGCATATGTGAAGAATGTGGTAAATAAATATATTTGGAAAAAAATCTAGTCTGTTTTAAAAGTAACTTCTTATGTATTCAATATTAACTATTTTGTATATCATAAGTGCTTTTCATCCTAATCTTAGGCAACTGTTGTCTATAGCCAAAAGAGAAAACAATAACTGAACAGCCCTCGATGGCATTTTCTTCACACTACAGATCCAATCATTTCCCAAATCCCACAGATTTTACTTTCTATGTATTTTTTGAACGTATTCATTTATTTGTTCCACTATCAGTACTACTAAGATTTTTTTCAAGTTGGGTTAAGAACATAAATGATGGGGCTGGGGATGTGGCTCAAGCAGTAGCACACTCGCCTGGCATGCGTGGGGCCTGGGTTCGATCCTCAGCACCACATACAAAGAAAGATGTTGTGTCCGCCGAAAACTAAAAAATAAATATTAAAATTCTCTCTCTCTCTCTCTCAAAAAAAAGGCGGGGGGTTGTAGGTGGAGAAACCCTTTGTCTTCTAATTAAAAAAAAAAAAACAAAAAAAACATAAATGATGGATTACTTCCTTCTTCTAGTAACTAAAGACTTGATTAGCCATATAGTACCTGACACTGCTTTGGGACCTGATTTCCCTACTGGTGGCTATGGCTCCAAACTATAAAGTGACACAGTGAAGATAAAAGCGGCAAGCTTTGGGGGGAATTACCCTTGCCTACTTGTACTTGCCTGGCTTCTAACCTGTCACTTGTTTTGATGGTTGCCAATCCTTAACATGAACTATACGTGTTCTATGATGCTGTTTTTGTGTATTTTAATTATTTGAAAAAGAAAAATTAGGGGGATAGGGGAGATAGGGATGCAGGCTAAAATGCGCAGACACCCAAGATGTCAGACTGGAAGAGTTAAAAGTGACTATGTTTCTGGTTTTGAATCCTCTGCCCATATTTCTGTTACTCTGGAAACCACAGCCTTAATTTTATTAATCGGTTGGATAACTGTTTTGTGTTATCAAAGCGAACACTGAAGGCATTGTGCAGGCACTGTAAGGAATATGACGACTGAATACAATAAAGTTTCCTTTCCTTCTCAAAGTTATCTAGACCTTGTCTCCACTAGCATTCATTATTCTTCACTGAATCCCCGCTTTAATACAAATGGTCCCTGGTAGGTAGGTAGGAGTGTAAGAGCCGAGAAGAGTCTGTCCTGAGAGCAGGTTTTTAAGCGAGAAAACCTGTGTTTAGTTTTGTTTGTACTGGGGATTGAACCCAGGAGTGCTTAACCACATCCCCAGCCCTTTTTTAATTTTTTGAGACGGGAACTCTATAAAATTGCTTAGAGCCTCGCTAACTTGCTGAGGCTGGCATCGAACTTGCGATCCTTCTGCCTCAACCTCCCGAGTGGCTGGGTTTACAGGCGTGCGCCACGAAGCCCGGCAAAAGTTGGGTTTTTAAACGATTTTACCTGGGTTGGCTCCTTATAAAGTGCAGCACTCCTTTGTCTTCACAAAAGAAAAAAAGGGAAAATGGACACAGGAAAGCCTTGCGCGTGCTCTGGGGAAGGCCACGCGTCCACAGAAGACGGGGTTACAAATGCCAGGGGCCAGACAGCTTTAGCAAGAAAACCCCGACGGACAGGAATCTAGGGTTTCCGGCTATCCAATTTTCCCGAGCTTAGCTTTTTAAAAAATATATGCAAAACAAGACAGAATGGAGACAACGCCGGAAACCACCCTGGCTCGTTTCCGGCGCGGCCCAAGGAGGTCGTTTGGGAGCGAGCGCCTGCCCGACTGACGCCTGCGCACTAGCCCGGTCCGCGGACGTTAGGCCGTTGCAGAGACGCTGTCGGATTCCGTGACAACAGCTCGATTAAACACTTTTGTTCTTAATTGTTAGTGAATCTATGCTGTGACTTGCACTGAGGCTCCGGGAGAGTGTAAGGGACGGTTTTCCGGCTGTTTCCTCCTCCGCCGGCACCTCCGAAGGCAGCCCCGATTGAGGGTTGCTATGGAGCGGAGTCCTGGGTTTCCATGACGATGCGCAGGCGTTCCAGGGGAGGGCCGGGCGGCCGGAGGCCTGGCGGGAAACACGATTTGCCGGTACAGATCACAGATCCTGTGGTTTTTAATGGAGAAACGCTGCGAGTCCTGCCTGACATTCGAGACCGTGGCTCTGTCCTGCGCGAGGGGCACTGTTTTGGGGAAGCTGGGGACACGAGCGGGCGGTGCCCACAGGGCTGCGGGCGGGCGGGCGGGCAGGCTGTGGTGGGGCGAGCGTGTCCTTCCCCGACCCTCCCACACTCGCTGGCTTCTCAGTCACGTTAGAGGACCCTAGAGAACCTCAGGGTCCCCCCCCAAAGAAGGGGAACACTGCTAGGTGGATTCCAACTCCGAAATGAACACAAGCACGTAATGGGTCTCTCTCTCTCTCTCTCTCTCTCTCTCTCTCTCTCTCTCTCTCTCTCTCTCTCTCTTTCTCTCTCTCTCTCTTTTTTGTTGTTGTTCATTTCTTTTGCCTACAGGACAATTTGACAGCCTGAAGGTCCTGGTACGACGCCGATTTACTTTTAAATTAATTTGAGGAATATTTCAAATTACTAAAGAACGGTAGGAGGCTCGCTCTCGCGCGCCCTCTCCCTTTTTTTAAAAAACTATGTCTCTTCAGAAAATACCGTCCGCATCTCTGAACTCCTTATCATCTGAGGCCAAAAAGTCAAGAGTCTCTGTAGTCAAGGAGGAGACCCGAGGTAAACTTGAAGGATCCCGCCGACATAATCGCGGTCATTGACAGAAATCACCTTCCATTCACCATTTTTCTTCACCAGACGTTTCCCCCTACCCTTTTCCCCTCCCTTCCTCTGAGCCCAGGGTCTCCCTGTGTTATCAAAGCTGGTCTCTGATGATTAAATGATCCTCAGTGGGCACTAGAGCTGTTTTTCTGACACTCGTTCAAGTAAAACCAAAAGCCATTTTCTTTTATAGTAGTTTAGAGCCAGTCCTGTTTAATTACTCCACCTAAAGTCTATGTTAAAACTTTTTCCAAATGCTGATGAGTTTTATATTGTTTTAAAAATTCACCCTCCTATTTTAAATACAATGGCATCTTTTTTGGTAGTTGGTCTCTGACATTAAGGCACTTAAAAAGAATAGTGGAGATAAGACAGACACATGCAAATCATACAAATTATGTATTTGTATCAAGTTTTAATAATTTTTCTAAATGAAAGCAATTCTGTGAGCTTTTCATTCTTAGATGAATGCAGATCTAACACTAGAATAAAAATTGCTGGGCTGGGGCTATAGCTCAGTGATAGAGTACTTTAGGAGCATGCCTGAGGCACTGGGTTCAATCCTCAGCACCACATAAAAATAAATAAAGTCATGCTGTCCATCTACAACTACAAAAAAAAAAAAAAGATAAAAAAATAAACAAAAATTGCTAAAAGCATCCTCACCCTATTAGGGTAACACTTTCTCCAGTCTCACCTTCAGGAGTTGTTGGGAGAGATTCTGCTGAAGTCCCACCTAACCTTTTTGTTTCCCCCCTATTTCTTCTGATATTCTATACCAAACCCTTGAGAGAGACTTGGTAGTATAAATCTTAAAAGTTTTGATGGTGATGAAAACATGGTACTTCTTTACTGAAAGTTATGAACAGTGACTACCAAACTACCTGACTGATTTCCTGGAAGCCTTTTCCTGAATTAGCCCTATTACCCATGTTTTTTACTTCTGTGTACTAATCAAGCTGAGGAGAATACTCTTCACAGTTCTTATTCTATGAGCTTGCTGAGATTATTCCACTTTTCATTTCCAACAATCCTAGTTCTACTTTTACTTTGTGTGTGTGTGCCAGAGATCCAATCCAAAGACTTATACATGCTAGGTAAGTGCTCTACACCGAACTGTTTCCCCAACCCCTACTTTTACTTTTAAACTCCACTCAGATCCCTTCCATCCTCAATTTTTTAAAATATTTTTTAATTGTAGATGGACACAATCCTTTATTTATTTATGTTTATTTGGTGCTGAGGATCTAACCCAGTGTCTCACATATGAGAGGCAAACACTATCACTGAGCTACAACCCCAGCCCCCATCCTCAATTTTACCTTTGAATTTATTTGAGAGAAATTATAAATAATCTGACAGATTGAAGGAAAGATTTCTTGTTTTATTTGCATATCAAAAGGAAAATAGTTGATTCCCATCATCTTAAAGCTCTCCCAGTTAAGTGAAGTGAGTTAATTTTCAGCTTGGACTAATTCAGGTTCAGTTTTGTATATGATAAGTGAAGTGAGTTAATTTTCAGCTTGGACTAATTCAGGTTCAGCTTTGTATATGAGGTTTTGAACCTGTTGTTTGATGTGAGTAGGGTAGGTAATACATTTCTTTTGACCAGATAATCTTTGGTGTTTTAAATATTATTTGTTACTATCCTTTTCAATCAGAAGCAATGTTTCTCTCTATTAGGAAAATACAGATGAGAATTATGAGGCAGTATGGGAAGCTCCATCCAAAAACTTAGAATAAGAGCTTTTCTTTCCTTTTTCATTCTTAGGACTTCCTGAACTAAGGGAGCAAAAAAGTATGGTGGGTCATTCCAAACCCCTTCCTACTTCCCTTCAGAATGAGTTCATCCCCGAGGAGATTCTGCTTTCTCTGACCTATGCAGCCAATGCCGGTCCCTGTCCTGAATATTTACTGCCTCCTAAGAAAACTAAAACTCCAAAGGTGTGTAAGTTTGCATGTAGACTACTTGGGGATATTATCTCTTTGGTATCCTGTTTACTAAGTGTTAGTTGAGCACAGGTTATATATTCCAAGTGGTCTTAACTTTTTTTAAAGTAATTTTCTACATTGAAAACTCATGTTTTCACCCAAATTTCTAAGGCTTGAATATTTCTATTAATCTGTTTTCTTACCAAAATTACCATACTTAGTTTTAATATTTGTAGAAATGTTCTATTTTCAGTCTTTGCGCATGCTACTGAATAAGAATTCTGCTCTATTCCACAGGGTATCAAAATATAAATATTCAATTACTAAGAATAGATTTTTTGCTTGACTAGAGTGCCCTCTGCTGGATATCCATGTGTTTTTCTTTTTCCCAGGGTACTCTTCCACGCCCTGTAGACCATGTCTGGCAGCACCCTATTCGAAGGAATAAATTCAAATACCTGATTGACCATCCTGTCTCCCTGACAGGAGCTGCAAGGTAAAGAAGGAAGAGGTTCAGATAGATGCAGATTAATAGTCATTTTCTTATTTCATGTGACAGCCTTGGGAGGGGCAGGATTGGAGAACTCATAAAATCATTGGTTATAAAACTTGCAGTATCTTTGATAAATCAGAATACAATCCAAAAGGGTGGTCATGTTTTTGTTTATGATGATTATAAGTATGATAGCTGTAGGTATTGGCTCTGCATATTTTCAGTTTGTTTAAATTTATTTCTTTTTTGCATGTATTTGTATAGCTGTCCTTATACTCTCCTATTCCTTATTGCTACCTACTAAAAGGAGCAAGATCTGACAGGCAGAATGCCTTTAGAGTTTCCTGTATCTGTATGTATAGGTGTTTTTTGAATATCTTAGAGGAAAAAGCTTTATAATGTGGAAAACCCTGTAGAACAAGTGCTTAATTCTGGTTCTCTTCAAAGGGAACCCTTACTCTTTAATACTTTTCTAGGTCAAATCAGCAAATACTATTTATTGTTTTTGTATCATTCCTAAAACTATTCTAAGTGTCAATTTTTTTTTCCTGTGAAGATTGTGACCCCATTTTATAAGTAAAATACATTTATCAGTTTACTTCCTGCATGCTGTTTGTTTACCTGTCATTTTTGTCTGAAAATGCTTATTGTACTTGGGTAGGTGATTTAGTCTTTCTGAAGTTAATTTTCTAGTCTGTAAAAAAGGTAATAAATAACTTAGGGCTGGGGTTGTGGCTCAGGGATAGAGTGCTTGCCTGGTACTTGTGAGGTACTGGGTTTGATCCTCAGCACCACATAAAATAAATAAATAAAGGTATTATGTCTGTCTACAACTAAAAAATGTAACTCAGTTTTGTGTGCCTCTAGGGATGTTGTAAAAGTACAAATGAGATAATGAATTCAAGAGCACTTGTAAAACCATAAGTGCTATTCAAGTATAAGTTGTTATTATTCAGTTGTGTCTCAGTGCTACAAAGAGTGGCAGAAACTTAGTCTATTGACTTTTGTGTCCTGGGGCTTTAGTGTCATACAGCATCTGTATTTCATTTTATGCATTTAGATCATGGATATAATTATTAATAGTAATAATTAATAGTTATGAGATATTTAAAGTACTTTGAAAAAATAGCCATATCTGAATTCAGCAATAAACTGACATTAAAGTTTTGATGTCAAATGACTTCTGAGTCAGAATTTTTAAAATGTGAAAATCAGGTAAACAGATAATGTTCCCTCACCCCTACTAAAATGTTCTTACTGTATTCTTGGGAGCTGTGAATACATACCTCATATGGCAGAAAGGACTTGAGATGGAAAGCTTACCTTGGATTGTCAGAGTGACCTAATCACCTGAATCCCTGAAAGTTGTAAAGAAGGGCAGTCAAGTGGGTTGCAGATGAGATAGAAAGAGGAGGGCAGATATGCATCATGACACGGGTTCAACCTTCCATTGTTAGCTTTGAGGATGGAAGGTGGGGGGTACATGAGCCAAAAAATGCAACTGGATACTAGAAGCTGGGTCTTCTAGTGACGACTCGGCTAACAGCTATCAGGGAAACAGGGGTCTCAATCTTGTATGCCCAAGGAACTGGATTCTGTTATCCTGGATACACACAAAAATGGGTCTTCCTCTAACACATCTGGAACCTCACACAGTCCTGTCACACTTAAATTTTAGCTCTGTCAAACCGTATTGAACTTCTGACCTGCAGAATGGTAAGGTAGTAAATTTGTGTTAAGCCAGGTACAGTGGCTTATTTATGCCTGTAATCCCAACAACTCAGGAGACTGAGGCAGGAGGATGGTAAATTCAAGGCCAGCCTGGGACCTTGTCTCAAAATAAAATAAAAAAATTTTGTGTTGCTTAAGCTAAGTTTGTGATAATTTGTTGTGGCACCAATAGAAATACACCTGCACACAACTAATAATAACAAAACGTAACATGTCTTGCAACCTCAAATATCCAGAGCACAACAAAAAGATACAAAGTAGTATCCCTGAATCATATTTTTGATGGCTTTGTCAGAGTTTAGTGGAAAAAATAAACTACTCTAGAAAAAAAAATTTAGATATTTTTAAACACAAAAAGAATTGAATACAAAATTGTTGGACGGGCTAAAGGAGCTGGTATGAAGCAGTGTCTGTTGAAAAAACTCCCAGGACAGGGGAAGCAGGAGGCAGCTACCAGGAAGCAGCTACCAACACAGGAGCTTTGGGTCTAAGAGTATAATACCCTGGAATAGATATTTATCCCGAGCATATGCATTTTGATTTATTTATGCCATCTTACTCTGTTTTCTCTTTGCATCCTTTTTTTCTTATTTTTTGCTAGCTTAATAGAGTTGTTTTCCTTTTCCCTGCTTTTAAGTGGGTGATTAAAGCACAAGGAAATGATAGCACTCGTTCTCAGAGGTGAGGGCAATAGAGAAGGATGGTGTGTGAAGCTTCTGGAATAACTGGTGAAGTTTGATCTCCTAATATGGTTGCTAACTACAAGGATATTGGGGGTCTCATAACAAATCAAAAAGAGTTTAGCAGGATATGGTGGCACACATCCATAATTCCAGCTACTTGGGAGACTGAGGCAGGAGGATCCCAAGTTTGAAGCCTTCCTGGGTAACTTGGTAAGCCTTTTATCAAATAAAATTTTTTTAAAAGAGCTGCTATGAGGCTGGGGGATATAGCTTGGTTTGTGGAGTGCTTGCCTCACATGCACAAAGCCCTGGGTTCAGTCCCCACACCAAAAACAAAAGGGCTGATATGAGGTGATCCTTCTGTTTTAGCCTCCCAAGTTGCTGAGGTTACTAGTATGTGCCACTATACCCCACCAGGAATCAACATAAAAAGTAATGACAACTTTGACTAGTGATTTGGCATTGGCAAGAGACAAGAGGACCACTATTAAGAGGAGGGTGACCATAGAATTAATAAGTAGTGGTAGATGGCAGAATAGAGAAGTTCACATTCCTGGCTGCTCTGTGGAGTGAAACAAAGAAAACTAATAGGCAGCTTCTCAGCAAATGAGGTACTGGAAACCTTCAGGGACACTATGAGTCTACACAGTGGAAGGAAACTGCTGCCTCAGATCCATACTGTTACATGGGTAGACACACAAACAACATGAAAAAGCAAGGGAAAAAATCGCTCCAAGCAAACTAAGATACTCCAATAACAGAATCTATCAACACCACAGAAATGTCAGAGGAATTTGGACTGCATTTAGTTAAACTGATCTGCAAAGTAAAGGATGATGTAAGACAGCAAATACATATAGCAAAAGATCACTTCAATAAAGAGATAGATTTGGGGGGGGGACACAAACAGAAATCCTTGAAATAAAGGAAATAATAGACCAAATTAAAAATTCAATAGAAAGCATCACCAAAAAAATAGACCATTTGGAAGGCAGAGCCTTAGGCAATGAAGACAGAATATGTAATCTTGAAAATAAAGTGGACCACGGAGAGAAGATGTTAAGAAACTATGAACACAACTTCTAAGAATTATGGGAAAATATAAAAAGAGCCAACAGATAAAGGAATGGAGATACAAACCTGAAGGAATGCACAATATTTTCAGTGAAATAATAACAATTTTTTAAATATAAAGAATGAAATGGAAAATCAAATACAAGAGGCTTACAGGACCCCAAATGTGCAGAATTACAACAGACCCACATCATTATAATGAAAACGCCTAGCATACAGAATAAGGCTAGAATTTTAAAGGCTGTGAGAGAAAAATATCAGATTACATATAGGGGAAACCAATATGGATCTCAGCTGATTTCTTAACCCAGACCCACAAAGCTAGGAGATCCTTGAATAACATAAATCAAGCTCTGAAAAAAAATGAATGCCAGCCAAGGATCCTATATCCAGCAAAATTAAGCTTCACATTTGAAGATGAAATAAAAACCTTTTATGATTAACAAAAGTTAAAAGAATTCACAACCAGGGCTGGGGTTGTGGCACAGTGATAGTACACTTGCCTAGCATGCCTGAGGCACTGGGTTCAATCTCCAGCACCACAATTAAAAAAAAAAAAAAACTAAATAAACAAATTAAAGGTATTGTGTCCATCTATAACTAAAAATATTTTTTAAAATAATTTGCAACCAGAAAGCCTGCACTTCAGAATATTCTCAACAAAATATTCCATGAAGATGAAATGGGAAAAAAAAGTAAAAACCAATGAAGGGAGGAACTACACTAAAGGAGAAATAGTCAATCAGAGGAGAAACTAATTCAAATTAAAAACTAGAAATAAACCAAAATGACCAGGAACAAATCATATCTCAGTAATAACCTTGAACATTAATGGCCTAAACTCATCAATCAAAAGACATAGACTGGCAGATTGGATTAAAATCAAGGCCCAGGGCTGGGGTTGTGGCTCAGCAGTAGAGCGCTCGACTAACATTTGCAAGTCCCCGGGTTCGATCCTCAGCACCACATAAAAAAAATAAATAATTAAAATAAAGATATTGTGTCCAACTAAAAAATAAATATTAAAAACAACAAAAACAAGACCCAACAATATGCTGTCTCCAAGAGACTCATCTCATAGGCAAAGATATCCACAGACTGAAGGTGAAAAGATGGGAAAAAACAGATCACTCACATGGATCATGTAAACAAGCAGGGGTTTCTAGCCTCATATCAGATAAAGAGGACCTCAAGCTAAAGTTAATCAGAAGGGATGAAGAAGGACATTCCATACTGCTTAAGGGAATTATACATCAACAAGACATAACAATCACAAATATTTATGCCCCAAGCAATGAAGCATCTACGTACATCAAAAAACTCTTCTGAACTTAAGAATCAAATAGATCACAATCCAATAATACTGGGTGACTTTAACTCACTTCTCTGAATACTGGGTAGATCTTCCAAACAAAAACTTCCAAACTATAGAACTAAATAATACAATCAATAATTTAGATTTAACAGACATATAGAATATTTCATCCATTAATGATGGAATACACTTTCTTCTCAGTAGCACATGGATCCTTCTCTAATATGGACCATGTTATGTAAGCTATCACATGTGTTGGCATACAATTGAAAAATTACCTTAATATATTTTTGGCATCTATGGGATTATTTTGATAGCTCCCTTTCCATTGGTATTAAATTGTGTGTTCTTATTTTTTCTTTAGACTTGTTTGATTTTTATCAAATTTTAGCTATATTATTTCTTCTCTAGATCATATATTTCTGTTCCTACTCTTATTTTTCCTTCCTACTACTTAATTTGAAAATAACTTGATTGTTATTCTAGCTTCTTTCTGATACAAGTACTTTAAGTTATAAATGTTCATCTGAGTACTGTTTAATCCCAGAGATCCTAGTATTTTAAGTTCTTATTATCACTTTGTTCAAAGCACTTCTTATTTACTTTCCTTGTGCTTTATTCCTTGACCTCAGAAATATTTATAAATGTGCCATTTAATTTTGAAATAGTTGGCATGGGGGTGGGGTTCTGTATATCTTAAGGTAATTGGTTTCTGATGTAAAAAATCATGCAGGAATTACAGTCTGCATGATGTCAAATTTTAGAAAAAGTAATGGAAATACTTTTTGTATTGATTGTTTTGGTTACATACATGCAAAAACTGATCAAATTGCATACTTCAAATATGCATTTTATTGTACTTCAATTATACCTCAATAAAACCATGGGGAAAAAAGAATAAGTGGTAGCAGTAGATTGGATATTAGGTACAAAGGATGGGAAGGGATTGATTATAGATGTTGAGATTTTGGTGAAGAGAGTGGTGGTGTTAATTGACAGTGAATACTAGAGGGGGAAAAGAAGGAACGGAAGAACGATTTAGTTGTGCCTACAGGGTAACATCTATGATAATGTGAGATTTGATGATATTGTCAAGGAAGAAAATGTAGGGGAAAGAAGAGTAAAAGGGATGAGGATGCAACTTTGTAGAATACTTCCATTTAGTAGCAGGAGAGCACAAAGAAGTCTAAGAAAGTAGAAAGGATAAACCAGGAGCATCTAGTACCACAGGAAATTAAGGAGGAGAGTGTTTTTAAACAGAGATGATCAGTCCTAGAAAATATTCCACAGTGTAGTGGAAGATAACTAATAAGAAATTATTTAACTTGGCAGTGGGAAGTATCATCAGCTTTTTGGAGAATGGTTTTGGGGGATGTTTGGGTAGGAATTAGATTGAAGGGAAATTTTAGGAAGTTTGATATTTAACAGAAAGCAAGAGATAGATAGATAGATAGATAGATAGCCAGTCAGCCATATAAAACAGTCATGCACAGACTGGTAATGCCTGGTCAAGAAAAAGATTTTTAGAGAAAAGACTAAAATTGTAGGAAATACACAGAAATTATGATTGATGGAACAGGAGCTGTGAGGGTATGGGCAAAGATGTAATGAAGGTACATAAGTGGAAGGAATAACCATAGAAACAGTATCTTAATCTGAGATGGAAGGAAAAGAAAGAGTTTGTGATGAGAATGAGAAATATCAGATAGAAAAGAGGAAGAATGCATGGGAACTTGTACCTAGTGCCTCAGGAGAGTATGAGGTAAGGAGATCAGTTTTTCCTGACATAAATGACATTTTACTCACTGGTAAGATATGTGTCTATACTGAATATGTAAGGCTTTTTCTTGTCATCATTCCCTAAACAATTTAGCATAACAACTCTTTTTTTTGTTTTTTTTAAAGAGAGAGAGAGAGAATTTTAATATTTATTTTTTAGTTTTCGGCGGACCCAACATCTTTGTTTGTATGTGGTGCTGAGGATCGAACCCGGGCCGCACGCATGCCAGGCAAGCGCGCCACCGCCTGAGCCACATCCCCAGCCCCGCATAACAACTCTTTACCATCTGTATTTAGTTAGCTAGACAGAACAGTTATTTTTTAAAATATATTTTTATATATCTATATTTTCTATATTTTCTAATTTTTAGGGACATTTCTTTTCTGTATGACATAAAACGTGTAAAAGGAGAGATTAGAGAGAATGTAGTTTGTCCTCCACGTATGGACCGTTCATTAGAGTCACATGATGGTGCCATGGTGCCTCATAAGGTAAAGTATTTGAAAAATCATCTCTCCTTCTTTGTTTTAAAAATAATTTCCCCCAAATATAAGGCAATCTGACACTATAACACTGCATTGTTTATTTGTTTTCATAGAGCTTTCCAATTATTTCTTTAAAAGGGTAGTTAGTGGGAAAAGATTAAAGATTTTTAAGCCATTTTTCAAACCACAGTTATCTGCTTTAATCTAGAAAAGTATGGGAGACTAGGTTTTCCCCTCACAGAAATCCACATGTAATTTTGTAGAATTCTTATCCTTGGTATGTTGCTAAATTGAATTTTAAGCTTCCTACTGAATCAAATAAAAAAAGAGTTAATGAATTTCTAAATGCAGTTGGCCCTCTACGCTTGAGGATTCCCCACCTGCATATACAACAAACCACAGATAGAAAATATTTGAAAAAAATATTGTCTCTGTGCTGAATATAAGTCCTTTTCTTGTCATTATTCCCTAAACCATTCAGTATAACAATTTTTTTTCCATCTGTATGGGGGCCTGGACCACCCCCTGCACATATCAAGGGCTGATTGTACTAGAACTAAAGTTGCTCTCTAACTCATGGTTATTTTTAACACGTGCTCTGCTTAAATTTTTTTTTGTCATCTGTATTGACCCACATTGCTAATATTGTTATTTCTCTAATCAAAATATTTCAATAAATAGTATACCTTTGGGATAGAAATTAGTATTTGTGCAATTTAATTTTTTCATCTATTTAGATGGTCTTCATTTTCTTTTCTTTTCAGCCAAAGACATTAACAGATACTTTGATTCCTGAAGAATTTCATATCGTTTCAAGTACAGGAGTTTCAGGTTTGGAGTGTTATGACGAGTGAGTACTATGTTGTGTATTGAATATCTGAGGTGCCCAACCGTTGTTCCCCCTTCCCACACACAGAAGAACCTGAGAGCAGTACATCATGTTCATGTAGTGTGAAAATATTTGGGCTAGCCACCCTAATACAATTTAAGAAAGATGCCACAACTAATGAGAAAGACTTAAAAACGTTTGGTATTTTAGTAATTAACTCTTCTCTATCTTTTCCTGCCATTTAATTTTGAATTTTTTAAAAAATGGAACTTTGGGGAATGAAATCTACCACACTGTGTATGACTAGACCACAGTAAATCCCGTGTGTGTATGTGTGTGTGTGTGTGTGTATACATATATGAAGTTATATATTGATTGAAATAATAATAATAGTAATAATAATAATAAAAATACTAGAAAGGAGATGAGTAGAATAGATGGATCAGGGGAAGGAGGAAGGGAGGGAAAGGGAAGGTTTTGGGGAATGAGATTGATCAAATTATGTGCATGTATGAATATAGCATAATGAATCTTACAATGTACAATTATAATGCACCAATAAAAATAAATAAAAATGGGATTTTTTCTGAGTGCTTTTTTGTTCTGAATGCTTGACCATGTCCTTTAGGAATGGTTATGATCAATGACCACGCAGACAAAGTAAATAAAGTCAGGATTTCATATTGCACACTCAGGGATTTGCTCCAGACTGCAGACCAGTCATTGATTCCTGTTTGTCTGATTGACAATGAGATCTTGCTTTTATTTTCTGAAGCAACATTTAATTGTTTTATAGTTTAAAAAACTAGAAATTTGGACTATGGTTTTTTAATAAAATATTCAGAGGATGTCACTCTTTGAATCTTATATATTATATAATAACATGGCATTTCCTTATAAGAACAGTATTTTGAAAGTACAACTATGTGGAATGCATTTTTTGGGTTACTTTCTGTTGTTTTTTATATAATTCTGATAACTGATAAAAAATTACAAAAGTAGGACAAGGAACTCCCACATGCTCTTTATCCTGATTCACTGGGTATTTATATTTTGTTCTGTTTGCTTTTACACATATACAAATACTTTAAATGTATGTTTTTTAACCCAGGCATCAGGAAAGATGGGTTTTAGTTTTATAATAGCTTCTTAAACAGTTTATAACCTGTTTAGTAAGTTAAATTTGTTGACTTCAATATTCTTAGGACAGCCTTCTACCTTTTTTCTTTTTTTTCTTTCGTGGTGCTGAGGATTAAACCCAGGTCCTTGCGCATGTTAGGTAAACCCTTTATCACTGAGCTAAAAACCCAGCCCCTCCTTTCACCTTTGAAATAGCTAAAAAGACATGTTTTTTTTCTTTTATTGAATTTTATTGAATTGAAATTTTCAAATTTTGACACATCAAGGAATGTGATAAAATCTCCTTTACTAAAATGTTCCAAATATGACAAATGTCATTATATCTAAGTTTGTAGATGTCTATAGATATTTGGTATTGTCTTGTCTGCAAATGGCAGGCCTTTATCATCACCTTCAAGTTTCTACATTCCATGAAGTATTTTTCTTGAACTGGGGATAGAACCCAGGGGTGCTCTATCACTGAACTAAAGCTCCAGCTCTTTTTTATATTTTATTTTGAGACACTTTGCTAATTTGCCCATGCTAGTCTTGAACTCTGGATCCTCCTGACTCAGCCTCAGAGTAGCTGGAATTACATGTGTGTGCCACTGTACCTGGCTCCATTAGGTTTTAATTTTATCATGTGATTTATTCTGATTTCTTTTAGTAGAGAACGATACTTAGAAACCAAGATTCTGGGTATTAGGTATGCGAATTGATAAACAGGCCAGAGTATTATCTGTACTGGGCCTTGTGCATGCTAAGCTCATGCCCTACCACTGAGCTACATCTCAAAATAGTTTCTTAAAATAACATTCACTCATTTTTTTTTAATTGTAGCAAATATACTACTCTCCTGACAGATAGTGAAAACAGGCTGTTACTCTTCCCATCCATGTGAGTAGAATTTATTTTCTCAAGTATTTTTAGAATAATTAGATACACATATATTTATTTTTACTGGTATTTTATTAAGTAAAATATTATAACAGTAATTACTTATAATTCTGTCATATAAACAATGTTTATATGTCCAATTGTATATTTAAATTTATGTTAATTTATCAACTTTATTTAAGTACTGTAAAATTCTTTTATATTCTACATTTAATCTTTAGTATTTCTCCATTTTGCTAGTTTATCTTTCTTTGTTCTTTTTCTTCTCCTACCTTGTGAGGTAACCGATGTTAATCATCCTACACAATAGTTCTATGGAATCTTTGAAGGGGATAATTATTTTAAGAAAAAAAGATCATGCTATTTGCAATTTTCTTATTTTTAATTTTTCACTGTATTACTTATATCCTACTCTATCAGCAGGTGTATGTTTAATGCTTTAAAACACCATTAATATTACATCATATATACATTTTCATTAAAAGTTTTACATTCTTTTTGTCACTTGAGATGACTTTTTGTAATGCTAATTGTATAAGTCTACCACCTTAATCTTTTAGGAAACCTAATAAAAGAGTAGAAGTGATCAAGCTGAATGATGTGATGGATATTATGCTGGAGAGGGCTGGTGTAGAAAATGAGGAATATAGAGGACCAACCAAGGTAATTGTAAAGATCAGTGTAACCCAGAAGTAGAGCATGTACTCTGGAAGCAGAATGCCTGGGCTGGAATACTGACTCTGCCATTTATTAGTGGGTGACCTTGGGCAAATCATTTAATGTCCTTTTGCCTTAGTTTCCTAATTTGTAAATCATAGTTAATAATAGTATCTACCTCATGGGGGTTAATGTGAGATGAAATGAAATAATAACTATAAAGTACTTGCACATAGTAAACACTATATAATTATTTTTTAGTATAGTTATATATTGCTTAATAATGGGGATATACTCTGAGAAATACATTGTTAGGCAATTTTGTCACTGTGTCAGTATCATAGTGTATACTTACAAAAATCTGTATACACAAACCAAGACTACTACACACCTAGGATATATGGCATATCCTATTACTACTTCAAGTTAATGTACTGAATACCATGGGCAGTTGCAACACTATGGTTAGTATTTATGTATTTAATTACCGAAAAGGACAGTGAAAATTAATTAAAATTAAAAGGTGAGAGGAATTTTTCAGCTCCAATAGGGATCATCCTCATATATATGGTTTGCTGTTGACGGAAATGTTTTTATGCAACAAAAACATGGCTGTATTATTACTATTGTACTTCATTGAACATAATGCATCAGTGATTTTAAGACCTTTGTTAGTTATTCATTTTTACTTTTAATTGGCATAATGATTATGTATATTTATTGGGTAGGTGCAATGTGATATTTTGAAGTATGTATAAAATGTGCAATGATCAGATCAGCACCTCCAACATTTATAATTTCTTTTACTGAGAAAATTTAAAATCCTCTCTACTGGCTATTTTGATATATGCATTAATTGTCAATCATAGTTAACTCTACTGTGCTCTAGAAGTCATTTCTTCTAACTGCAAGAATTTCATTCTTTTTAATGAATGAATAATTTTCAATTGTGTATGTATACAATATTATCTTTTCAGTCATGATGAACACTTAGTTTGATTTCATATCTTGGCTGAGTTCCCCTTTCATTCTTCCTTGGCATTTCCTCAGCATTTGTTATTTTTAAGACTCTCATTATTTTATGTTCCATTAAACATGTTTTTACCACTTGTCACTTTTATTTGTATTTAATGAAAGAACTCTCTCAGTCTTAGATATAGACTTTTTGGGCTATTTCTTTTCTGTTTTATACATTTTTACTTGCATAGAATTTGAAACAAGGCACTCTGATGTGGCCTTTACCTGGGATCTTCGTCTGTTTTCTGCTGTTATCACAGAGTACCACAATCTGGATGATTTATAAACATTAGTGGATTATTTGACTCATAGTTCTGGAGGCTGGCAAGTCCAAGAACATGGCACCAGCATCTGGTGAGAGTCTTCATGCAGTGTCATTCCATAGTAGAAGGTAGAGGGGCAAGTGATCTCACAGGAGAGAGAGAGAGAGAGAGAGAGAGAGAGAGAGAGAGAGAGAAGAAATCGATTGGATCATTCTTTTATCAGGAGCCCATTCCTGTGATAACTACCTCACTTCCTCAATAGCATTAATCCAATCACTGCCTACAGACCCCATTTTTAAATATCACAATGGCAGTTATACTTCAGCATGAATCTGGAAGGGGACATTGAAAGCATAGCACCCAGATTCTCCATCCAGTTGTTTGCATTGTACCTTATTTGCTTTATCATTCTCTCTCCTCTATATATGCAGTTTTTTTCCTTGACCATTTTAGAGTAAGTTGGAGATATCAAACCTCTTTACCATTAAATATGTCAGTGTTTACTCCTACTAACAAGAATATTCTCTTAAATATCCATAATCTAGTTATTAAAATCAAGAAATTTAACCCAAAGGACTTAAAATGAGCATACTCAGTGACACAGTCATATCAATGTTTATATAGCAGCTCAATTTGCAATAGCTAAGCTATGGAACCAACCTAAGTAACCTTCAACAGATGAATGGATAAAGAAACTGTGGTATATATACACATAATGAAATATTACTCAGCCTTAAAGAAGAATTAAATTATGGCATTTGCTGATAAATGGATGGAACTAGAGAATATTATGCTAAGCAAAATAAGCCAATCCCAAAGAACCAAAGGCTGAATGTTTTCTCTGATATGCAGATGCTAATTCACAATGTGGGGGTCTAGGGAAGAATAGAAGTACTTTGAATTAGACATAGGGGAATGAAGGGAGGGGAGAGAAGGTATGAGGGTAGGAAGCATAGTAGAATGAATCAGACATTATTACTTATGTGCGTATATGATTATATGACCTGTATAACTCTGCATCATGTACAACCAGACAAATGAGAAGTTATGCTCCATTTACGATGTGTCAAAATGCATTCTACTGTCATGTATACCTAATTAGAACAAATAAAAAAGGAACTTAAACCCCAAAACCAAAAAAATGAGGAAATTTAACACAGATATTATAGAATTATCTGATGTTCATGCTCAAATTTTATATTTAATCAATTGTCCTTATAATGGCTTTTTTGGGTACTAGGGATTGAACTCAGGGGTGCTTAACCTCTGAGCCATATCTGGAGCCCTTTTTTTAATTTTATTTAGAGACAGGGTCTAGCTAAATTGCTTAGGGCTTCACTAAGTTGCTGAAGTTGGCTTTGAACTTACAATCTTCCTGTCTCAGCCTCTTGACCACTGGGATTATAGGTGTATGCCACCACACCCAATCCCTATGATGTCTTTTATAGCTACCTTTCCCTCCTAGTCTAGCATCCCAGGACCACACAGTGCTTTTTGTTGTCATATTACTTTATAGACAGCTTTTTTTTTAGTTGTTAATGGATATTTATTTATTTGTTAACTTATATGTGGTGCTGAGAATTGAACCCAGTGCCTCACATATGCTAGGCAAGTGCTCTATCACTGAGCCACAACCTCAGCCTCTTTTTAGACAACTTTAATTTGAAACAATTCTTCAGCCTTTCTTTGTATTTATTGACCTTGGTATTTTGAAGAGCACAGGCTTCTTTATTCTACAGAATAACTTATAGAATGTTTCTCAGTTGTGATTTGTCTGATGTATATGCTCATGATTAGATTCATGTTTTGTATTTTTAGCAGGTATCACATAAAAGTAATATTGTGATGACCTCTATGCACCACAAATAGATGCACAATTAGAGAGGTTTTTAAAAATCATCATTTTTGTAAATGTGTATGAACATGTCAATCAAGGAGTTACTAAAATTTGTTCATGTTTAGAGTACTTACCTCCTAAAATGTTTTTTTTTTTTCTGGTAAGACTGTGATAATGCTGATTAATTTGCTTATTTTCTGCCAGATGCACCAGCTACTACATATTTTGAAGAAGGAGCAGACAATTTACAATACAGTCTTTCATGAACTTATTCGGCAGGTCAGTGTGGACTGTGCAGATAGAGGAGAACTGCTGTCCAAAATCAGGTTAGAGCTATTATTGGAATGTTCCAACTTTTGGATTTCATATTAGAATTATGTTTATATCTACTTTTGAGAAAGCCACAAAAACACTTCTCCATTGTACTGATAATGAGGAACCTAGTTGCATTTTATTATATTTTCTTTTTAAAAAAATATTTAGTTGTAGTTGGACACAATATCTTCATTTTATTTTTATAAAGTATTTATTTTTTGTTTGGACACAATATCTTTATTTTATTTTATTAATTTTTATGTGGTGCTGAGGATTGAACCCAGGGTCTTGCACATGCTAGGCAAGCACTGTACCCCTGAGCCACAATCCCAGCCCCTTATTATGTTTTCTGTAGTTTACTCTTCATGTTGGTATGAAATCTTGTTAAACATGTGAGCCTTACTTTTCTCATTTGTAAGTGAAAAATAATAACTACTGTGAAAGTTTTCATTTTTTCTATCTATTCATTCATAAGCCAACAGTTTTTATTGAGTACCTATGCTGTACCAAGTATTGAGATACTTCATAGGAATGCAGTGAGGTTTTTTAAATGAGAATGCTGAGGTAGGTTGTTAATAAATATAATTATTAGCAACAAGGATGACAAATACTATTGTTACTATAATTCTTCTTATAACTGTAGTACTTTCCAAAAAGTTGAAAAGAATAATATATATCTATGTTGACTTGCTCTGGGGCAAGAGGAAAATTATCAGATCTCTCTGAATATTGGTTTCTTCTAAATGAGGTATAAATCTGGTCACTGTCTGATTTATGGAAGCTGATTTTCTGTTATCTAGTACTGAGAAACTTAGAGGAAAGCCATTAAGATTAGATACAATAAAGTAGTTAGAATACCGTGGAAAACCCAAAGTGCCAAATCAGAATGAGGATAGGGACAACTAAGGTCTGAGTTGTCAATCTAAGAAACAAGCCAAGAGTGGTAGAAGCAGCAGGGCAAAGAACTACACGACTAACTGTGTAAACAGTGTTGGTCAGCTTTCTGTCATTTTCATGATGATTTATTAACATTAGTATTCTTCATTGTGAAGCTCATACTGGGAAGATCTTAACTGTGGAATCCTCAGGGCATAAGTCAGGGATTCCTTTCTGAAAAGAGAATCTGTATTTGCTCCCTCTGGGACACAGGCTTCCTGTGGCAGTCCTGTGCTTGCCCTGGTCTCCCATTTTGAAGTGGGCCCGAGACCTATCTCTGCATCCCAATGTTGATATTCTTCCTGGGGCGACTTTGATCCTGGGTTTGCTTACTGAAACACAACTATCTCCCATACCACTCGTTTCTTGTTTGTTCTTTTCATTTTCCATCCCTAGAGATTTGTATTCTTTTGGCAGGCCCAGTAATGCTTTGTAAAGTATGCGCCTATGGATATAATGGTGTAACAGTGGGGGATCTAGTGGTATTGGAATGGGAAGGACCTTCAGAGTGTCTAGTCCCTATATTACCAGGAGCAGAAGTCCTAAAATTGATACTTTCCAATGTTTGAGCTCTATATTGAATTTATGAGTTTCCTGTTACTTTAAGTGTTTAAATAAGGGCTAGATAATCCTTTCTTTCAGTGGGTGAGAGATTAGTCTAAATGTCCAGTTCAATTAAAAGATATTACAGTTATCAGACTTCATGGTTAGGATATAATACCTAGATCACTTTTACTATCAGTAGAAGTAAGTTATAGTATCTATACTTTATCATCTATGGTGATTTCCAGATAATCTCATTTGGTTTTATTTAGAAGCAAAAAAAAAAAAAAAGAAAAAAGAAAAAAAGACTTCTTTGAATTAAAGTCCTTTGTTTATTTTTAAACAGGTGTATTTTTACATTTAGTTAGTTTTGAGGAAAGTGTTGTTATTTATGAATTTGATTATTTATTAAAAAAACTCACTAAATTCAAGGAACTCTGTTGGATGAGTTTCTCAGCACTGTCAGCAGAAAACCAGCTTCCATAAATCAGGTACTCTGTTTGAAAGGGAAATTTGCTCCTGGTAATATAGGGACTAGAAACTCTGAAGGTCCTTCCCATTCCAATACCACTAGATCCCTACTGTTTACACAATTTTATCCATAGGCTCAAACTTCACAAAGCATTACTGGGCTTGCAAAAAGAATACAAATCTCTAGGGATGGAAAATGAAAACAAACCATCCTAATATAAAAAATATAAGAGATAGTTCCTTTCCCCACAGCATTTATAATCTGGAAGAAGAAATAAAAAGAGGTCCTTATTTTTATTTTACATTTCAATTATAATATTCCGAATAATTATGGCTCTGGTTATAATTTTCCACAATTATTCATTCACTTGTATGAACATGGCAGGAAAACACAGCCAAGATTCCTTTCTTTTTCCCTGTTGTTATTCCCACATATGTTTTATGAATGTCTGTTTAGTATTTCTTTTCTTTACTTTTTCTGTCATATATTTTCTGGCTCCCTTTTTCTTTCCTTTTGTGATTTTCCCCCCTCTACTGACACCCAGTCCTCTTCCACTTTGGGCCAGCACTGGCTGCTTTTTACCATCATTAGGTGAAAAAGAGAAATGAACTCTTGGACTCTATGGGTCCTGAATTGTGATCCCTGCTAAGTGTATGCTGGGCCTCACCTTTCCTTTTCCTCCTCATTCTTCAGCTTCTTTGAGCCATTTCAGGATTTTTGGAGCCACTTTGGGCTTCTGCCACTTTGAAAGGGAAGTTTGCATTTTGCTTTTGCATGATATTGTGTTCCCCTTGTTTCTCATTCAGAGAGAGGTATGTGCAAATGCTTGACCAGATTGCCCAGGAGATGATTGACTTCTACAAAGACTTGGTAGCTCAGCGAATGATGGACCAGCGCATTTTAGAAGAATTGTATAATTTCAAGAATGTTATTGAAGAACTGACCAGGTAAAAAGTGTGATTATCCTAAACACACACAAAAAAGTCAGAGCCATTTGTCTAAAGAGTAAAAAATATTGATGGAGAATAAATGGATAAAGGTGGAAACTCTTGTCTTCTTTCATGTTTAGCAAGCAAATGGAAAGAACTGGATATTGCAGTAGGGGTAAGTGAAGAGAAATGAGTCACACAGGTTAATGCAGAACTTAAGATCTACGCATATTTGATAGGGAAGAGACTCTTGCTCTCTCTTCCAAGATACAGATATTTATCTTAATCAGATTTACAGAGCATCACCATAACTATGGATGTTAAGGTTCAAATTTTAAAGAGAATAAATAATATATAGCAATCAAGATTCGTGATTATCTAACCTGGTAACAAGATGACTAGTGGAAAGAATAAAGAGGACAGTATAGGCAGATCAGAGAGTGGGGTAGAGCAGAGTGGTGGCCTTGTCCATCAGCATCTGTCTCCACTTTACTTTAGGGGATACCCCATTATATCTTCTTTCTGCCTTTTCCTGCCAATGTGAGTCAGTTGCTAAACCTCACAAGAGTCTATCTAGAATGCATACTAGATTTCTTGGTTTGCAAGTAGATGAGAGAGCTCAGCTGGAAAAGCATTAAACTGAAGATTTCTTGATGTTATGGGATGGAAAAACTAGGGCAATACACACAATAACCAAGAAGAAGATACCTGATTTCCTGGGTAGAAACTTTGTGGAAGTCTCCAACTGTGATTTTGAAATTTTTTTGCTTTATTTTGACAGGGAACTGTGTCTGGTTCGGGCGCAGGATATTAAATTAACAGAGGAAGCAGAGAAAGCCCACAAAGATTTAGCACAAGCTCTTTTAGATGCTGAAAAGAATGCTAGGTAAGTTGCTTAAGGTATATGTATATTATGTAGGGGAAAAGGGAGAAGATTCTACAGCTTCTGAAATAACATATAATGCTAGCTAAATTTTTAAATTCCCAAAACACGTATAATTTACTTCATCTGAATTTGGGTGATAGGTGGAAAGAAAATGTGATTTTTTTTTCCTTGCTGGGGATTAAACTCAAGAAAATGTGATTTTTCTCTTGTAGGCATATTGTTTGTTTTAGCCTTAATCATTTTGTTGAATGACATTTGAAGGTTATTCCTTTTTGGTTTTCTAGTAGAAAGTATAGAGAGGCAGTGTGCATAGCACAAATTCTGGAACCATACTATATCTTTGCAACTTTGGGGAAGTTGCTTTATTTTCCTGAGTCTTAGTTTGCCCATAAAATTGGGATTATAATATCACCTACCTTTTTGGGGTTATTATGAGGACTAAAGGTACTAATATAAATAAAGCACTTGGAATGGTGCTAGGCACCTACTCAGTGCCCTGACAGTACGATATATTTTTATTCTGTTTCCCTTTTTGTAAAATTTTATAAGTTATGAAATGTTCAGACATTCAGAAAAATAAAGCATTATAGCAAACACTCATGCATACTCCATCCTAATTTTCAAATGTTTACTATCATGTGATACTTGCCCCATATTGTTTTTGTTGGGGATGTAGCTTTCTTCCTGAGCTAGCTACATCCCCAGCATTTTTTATATGTTGTTTTGAAATAGGGTCTTGCCAAGTTGCCAGGGTTGGCTTCAAACTTGTGTTCTTCTTGCCTTGCACTGTGGCATTACAGCTGTGTGCCACCATGTCCAGCTTCATACCTTTTTTTTAGGAAACAAAATATTTAAAAATTTTAAGAGCTATATCCATTAACCTTTTATAGAAATATTTAAAAAATTTAAGAGCTATCTCCATTAGCCTTCTTCACTCTTCAGAATTAATTACTAGTCAGCAGTTATGTGATTTTCCTGTTTTTATGTTTTCTACATCTTTATATATTAAAACCCAATATATATTGTCATTTTATGTTTGTAAAATTTGCTTTTACCAACCAATACTACAGTTTTGAGATTTGTCCATGATTCATACAGAATAAATAAATTTATTTTTACTGCTGTGTATATTAAGTCATATGACTAATAATTTATGGATCCATTCAATAGTATGAATTGATTTTTCAGTTAATAAAATAATAATCCCTAGCATTTGTTGAGCATATGTAGTGACATCTCGGACACTATTCTAAGTTGTTTACATATGGCATCTCTTCGAGGCATTGTTGAAATGTACACTTTATAAATGTCTTTTTTGTGAGCGAGTTTTTGAGAGGTGTAAACCTATAAGTGGGATTACTGGGTCACAGGATGTGCATAGCCTTGCTGTGCTAGATGTTGCCAAAAGTTATACCATGTGGTTGTACCAGTGTATCAGGATATGAGAGCTCTTTCTTGCTAATATCTTTTACCAATCTGCTAGGTAAGAAAAGGTATTTGTTTTTTTATTGCATTTCTTTAATTAGTTCTGTGGTGAATCTAGTTCTTTTTTTTAGAAGTAATGAATCTACTGAGGTCTTAATGTTTTTATGCTATTTCAGGGATTAGTAAACTTTTTCTGAAAAGGGTCAGATAGTGAGATGTGTTTTTTTCTCTTTTTCTTTTTCTTTTTATTGGTAGTACTGGGATTGAACCCAGGGGCACTCTACTACTGAGCTATGTCTCCAACCATTTTAATTTTAATTAAACTTTATTTTTATTTGCACCCATATTCTGTTGGTTCTTTTAACCATCCAAAAGTGTGAAAAGGAACCTGGTGTGGTTGCTTGTAATCCTAGGGACTCAGAGGCTGAGGTGGGAGGCCTAGAAGTTCAAGGTCAACCTCAGCAATTTAATGAGACCCTGTCTTGAGATAAAAAAACACTGGGGACAAAACATGGTATAGTGCCCCTGGGTTCAATCCCCAGTTTTCCCCTCATATATAATATATACATTAAGGAAAATAAAATTTAAAAAGTTAAATTGTAAAACTCTTAACTTGTGGGTTATACAAAAATACAAATGATAGGCAAGATTTGATCCATAGGCTGTAATTTCATATCTGATTACATCTTTTGTTGGTTAAAAATGTTGTGACAAGCTGTGTGCAGTGGCACATGCCTGTAATCCCAGCGGCTTGGGAGGCTGAAGCTGGAGGATCACGAGTTCACAGCCAGCCTCAGTAATGGCGAGGCGCTAAACAACTCAGTGAGACCCTGTCTCTAAATAAAATACAAAATAGGGCTGGGGATGTGGCTCAGTGGTTGAGTGTCCCTAAGTTCAATCCCCAATACCCTCCCACCCCCACAAAAAACAGTTGTGACAAATATGCCTTGTAAATAAGGTAAAAATACAAACAAAAGTGAAGAGAAAACCATAATCTCACTACCAACTACCACTACTATAAATACCTTAATGTGTATTATTGTGGATATTTGCTTCAGTATACATGTGCTTACATGTATACATATTTTAATACTAAAACTGTATTGTATATACTGTTTTTTGGTCAGTTTCTTTTTCAGTTAGGAACCCCTATCTATTTGATACATTTTCATAGATTACCTAGATCATATTTGAAATTTCCCTTTTGTTTCCAAAATGTCTTTTATGTTGGGTTGTCTAAACCAGTATTCAATCTAGGACCACACATGGCATTTTGCTTTATGTCTCTTTTAATCTAGCCTGTGCTTAGGCTTAAAAAAAAAAACTTACTGAAGAATGATTTTATTTATTTTTTAAATGCAAAGAAATACCAGTATATAAAATTTAAATTAAAAACTGTGTTCTTATACCACATAGATGTGTGTGTATGTGTGTGTGTGTGTGTGTATGTATATATATAAAACAATTCAAATTATTTACTAGAATAAGAGGAGGTAACTTATTCATTGTATATACTTTTGTATATACTATTGTTTTCTGTACTGTTTTATCCTTCACATCTTCCTATATAACTATTCCATAATCATTGTCTTCCTTTTTTTTTTTTTTCTTAGTACTGAGGATTGAACCAAGGGGAACTTTACACTGAACTACATTTCCAGCCCCTTTTATTTTTCATTTGAGACAGGGGTCTTGCTAAGTTGCTCAGCCTGGCCTTGAACTAATGGGCATTATAAGACCAAAAAAAAAAAAACTCAAACAAAAAAAAATAGCACTTTCTCAAATCAGAAAGGAAGAGATGAAAAAGGAGAAGGAAGTTTTGTTTTCTTTATCACTGTTGGTTCAAAAACAAAAATGTTGGTTCTAAAGTGGGATGGTTATCTTTTTGTGCGATTTGAAATTTTTTAATATTTTTTTCTCATAACTGATTTTTAATTGAAAATTTAGAAAATATGGAAATACATAAATATAAAATAAAGAATATCCATAATTATTTTCTTCTAAGGTTAACTGTTATTAATGTTTATTTATTTTCTTTTTCTATGCATTTTTAATAAAAATGAAATAAAACTGAATATATATTTTTTATCATTTTTTCATTTTATGCCATAAAATGAAATGTTTTCCTAGGTATCAAAGTATCAGCTGCAAGAGTGCTTTTATCATAGAACTTAATCATATTTTATCTGGCCATTCTGTCTTTTGTTATTAGATATTGAGGTTGTTTCTGAATTTTTTTGCTTTTGCTCTTATTTTTTAAGATCATTAATTCCTTTTTAAAAATTGTTTTCTAACTCTCAGACACTAAAGTGCACAAATCTTAAAGGTATTACTTAATGAATTTTTACATGTATATTCACCTGTGTGAACTTATTTATTTATTTAGGGTATCCGGGATTGAACTCAGGAGCACCTGAACACTGAGCCACATCCCTAGCCTTATTTTGTATTTTATCAGAGACAGGGTCTCACTGAGTTGCTTAGCACCTTGCTTTTGCTGAGGCTGGCTTTGATCTCGCGATCCTCTTGCCTCAGCCACCAGAGCCACAGGGATTACAGGTGTTGCCACCTTACCCGGCTTGTATTTCTTATTGATTTTGAACAAATGGAAATTTCCAAATAGAAGGAGCCTTTAAAAGAGTTAATATCCCTTAGGAGGAAGTATTCTAAAAGATTTGTGAGATACTATTTGTCACTTTAAAACTTCTGTGTTTGCATTTAATTTCAGAAATTTTTAATTTTGAGAGAAGCTTCAGTGTAACTTAAAAGGAAAAGATATGCTCTGGTAGACATGAAGAAATAATGAGTAACAAAGAGCTTTTTATACTTAAGCCTTTGGTGGGCTGGGAGGAATTTCTTTTAATCTTGTACTAATTATGTATAATTTAAAATTAATTAATCACTTAGTTAATTTAGTACCAGGGATTGAACCCAAGGACACTTAACTACTGAGCCACATTCCCAGCCCTTTTTATTTTATTTTATTTTTATTAAATTTTTTTTTATTTTAGTTGTTGATAGACCTTTATTTTATTTATTTTTATGTGTTGCCTCACACATACTAGGCAAATGCTCTACCACTGAGCCACAACTCCAGTCCCCCTTTTTATTTTTTTTTATTGAGACAGGGCCTTACTAAGTTGCTGAGGCTGTCTTTGAACTCGCCCTCCTTCTACCTTAGCCTCCCGAGTTGCTGAAATTACAGGCATGTGCCATAACACTTGGCTAAAATTTAAAATTTAGAGGCTCACAGTTATTGGGATTTATGCCTTTAATAAAGAAGCCTAAGTTTATGGTCAAAGAAGCATAACAATAAAACTGCTATATTACTGTTACTTGTATTCTAATTTATCATTATATATAACTATCTATCTATCTATATATATATTTATATATAATTCATTGGGATATCATATTGTTAAAAGTTTAGTGAATAGATAAAAGATTTATGAACGAAACATTTTCTTCTATTTCATTCTATATAGTATATACAGTCGATATCAATATCAGTTATACCATATTGTGACAAATTTTAAAGGAAGAAATTGCCTATTTTATAATAGTCCTCTTTTTTAAAAAATGTCTAAATAGCTGTTTCTTAATTTTTCTTTTAGAATTGTAGAAGAATACCATGACTTATATACATTACAAAGAGGAAGGATGGAGAATGATATTAAACAGTTAATGGAAGAAAGAGATATATGGAGCGCAGCTACATATGAATTGGCCCTGAAGGTTTGTTCTCTGGATCCACTGTTCTCTGGATCCACAGCTCAAAGTTTATTGGTTAAAGTTTCATTTTTCAATTTTAATCATAGACAAAACAACAAAAGAATAAAGTATATATTTATTGATAAACAAGGTAGCTTTTGTGTGCCTTGAAAATGGAAAGTTAATTTTTTTTTTTCTTTTTCTTTTCTGTGTTAGGTACTAACTATTGCACAATTCAGAGTTTGTTTGTTTTTCACCAGAATATATAGAGTATGAACAAGAATTCTTTTTCTGTTGTTTGGAAATGTTAAAAATTCAACTTTATGTAATAATAAACTAGAAAAGGTGGTTCTTATTTTTTGTATAATGGAATCATTAGGATCACTGAATATCACACCCTGTCTCTTTACCTTGGTATATAACAAGTGAATTAAAATGTGGCAGTGGAACATGATGATAATTCTTTAGGGAAATTGCAAAGTTCCACAATATTCTATATTTCTAAAATGTTTACCTTTTGATTGCCTATTCTGACATATGGGACATATGGGTATTAACAGTGAATTATGACCCCATAATAGACTAAAAAATTGGTCTAGTTGGGTTAGTTTGGTAGTCTACTAGTGGCAAGTCACAGTGTTCTCCATGGAGATAGCTGCATAATACATTTATATTAGATCCTTCCTTCCATGGGAGCTTGTCAATTATTTGATGAAAATGTAGAAGCCTTCCTTGTCAAAGTGTTCAGATGCCCTAAAGTTAGAGATAAATTTAATATACTGAAGGGTTTATAAAGACTTGTTTATTTGGGAAAATTCATTTACTTGACAGAAATAATTATTAGAAATCTGGAGCATTCTTGGGGACGTGTTAGAGACATTCCCATTCAAGAGAAAAGGGTTTTCTGTTATTCCTAGAATTTCGGCTGTCACTGAACTTATTAGTTAAGATAATAAAATGCAGCTATAACCAAGAAGTATAAATACTGAAAGAAAGGTGCAAAATTCTGTTATTTGCTAGTGATAAAATTATTTAGTCAGAAAACTGGAAAAATGAATGTAAATATTATTTGAATTAATTAGCCTTTATTAAGGTAGCTAGATACAAGATAAATACTGTTTGCAGAACCCAACAAACATACATCAATAATTAGCAATTTAAAATGCAGAGGCAAAACAAACAGGAATAAGACCTAAACAGTAGTGAAAACTCTAAAATTTCACTAAAAGATCTTAATTAGACACAGGGTCTTGCTGAGTCGCTTAGGCTGGCTTTGAATTTGTGATCCTCCTGCTTCAGTTCCCCAAGTCCCTGGGATTACAGGTGTGCACCACCACTCCTGGAGGGAAATATTAATTTTTTAAAAAAATATTTATTTTTTAGTTTTAGGTGGACACAATATCTTTATTTTACATTTATGTGGTGCTGAGGATTGAACCCAGTGCCTCTTGCATGCTAGGCAAATGCTCTACGACTGAGCCACAACCCCAGCCCCGGGAAATATTAATTTTTAAAGCAAAGTTTGAGCACCTTATGGGTCAGGCAATATGCCATATTCTGGTTGATAAAACAAAAATAATTGACAAAAACTTAAAAACTGAGAGATTCAAATATTGCATCAATCTAGAATGATAGGCTTATCCAAACAAATGAAATATTAGCAGGGATACATGTATAGATTATCCTTATTAATGTTATTAACATTAATAATACTATGATTATAACATTTAAAAGAATAGCAGCTATCATTCTTTTATTACTATGTGTCAGATATTTACTAAAGGAGTAATTAGCACTGTTTTTTCAGTGATCTCATGAAAGAGGGCCATAATTACCCTCATTTTTCACATGAGGAAATTGGGACTCAAGGAATTTGCCTAAGTTTACATAGCAAGTCTGCTCTAGAGCCTGAACTCCCAACTACCATGATATTCTGCCTTCAGGGACAAATAGATCAAATTCAGGGCAGACACCTAATGAGACCCAGTGTAAAAGCAACCCATGTAAGAAAAAAGTTCAATGGCATTGAAATGACCGCAAATTCTCTATAAGGCAATTTCATGAGATGGTTCTTAAAATAATGCTAGATCTGACAAGATGAGAAGAAAGAAAATAGGTGGAGATAGTTGTCCCATATTCCTCTAGAATGGTCAAACCTTATCTAGGTTACATCCATCCTGATGCAGAATTGTAAAAAAGTCATTGGTAATTGTTTTTATTTATTATTTTCTTAAGTTTTTATTGTTATTGTAGTTGGACACAATATCTTTATTAATTTTATGTGGTGTTGAGGATTGAACCCAGCACCTTGCACATGCTAGGCGAGCACTCTATTGCTGAGCCCCAGCCTCAGCCCCAATAATCATTTTTGAAAAGTAAGAAATCACATGAAACTGACCTCTGTTTTATTTAAAGTTATATACATATATGGAAGGACTTTAAAGAAGAGGAAGGAAACGGTAAGAACCAAATTCAGGATGAGGTGTACCCTCTGAGTGAAGGGAATAGCAGAAGCTTCTAAAGATTCTGCTGCATACCTTTCACTAAAACCTGAGAAAGAAAATTGTATGAATTGTTTTCATTTGTAGTCTAGATATTGTACTCTCATGTTTTCCATTCCAAGTTTTCTAAGGAATTCCATACTGCTTTCCATTGTGGTAGCACCAATTTGCAGTCCCATCAGCAATATATAAGTGTACTTGGTTCCCCACATGTTCTCCAACTTTTATTGTTACTTGTATTCTTGATAATTGCCATTCTGACTGGAGTGAGATGGAATATCAGTATAGTTTTAATTTGCATATTTCTAATTGCTAGAGATGTTGAACATTTTTTCATATATTTGTTGACCGATCATATTTCTTTTTTATAATATATTATGCTTACATTTTTAAATACCTTTATTTAATTAATTTATTTATTTTTATGAGATGTTGGGGATCGAACCCAGGGCCTCGCATGTGCTAGGTGAGCGCTCTACCACTGAGCCACAGTCCCAGCCCCGACCAATCATATTTCTTCTGTGAAGTGTGTGTTCAGTTCCTTTGCCCATTTATTGATTGAGTTATTTGGGTTTTGGTGTTAAGTTTTTTAGTTCTTTATATATCCTGGAGATTAATACTCTATCTGAGGTGCAGGTGGCAAAGATTTTCTCCCATTCTGTAGGCTCTCTCTTCACTCTCTTGATTGTTTCCTTGGCTGTGAAGAAGCTTTTTAGTTTGATTCCATCTCATTTATTGATTCCTGGTTTTACTTCTTGCACTTTAGGAGTCCTATTGAGTAACTCAGTTACCAAGCTGACATGATGGAGTGTTGGTTGTATATTTTCTTCTAATAGGCACAGGGTCTCTGGTCTAATGCCTAGGTCCTTGATCCACTTTGAATTGAGTTTTGTGCAGGGTGAGAGATAGGGTTTCAATTTTAGTCTACTACATATGGATTTCCAGTTTTCCCAGCACCATTTGTTGAAGAGGTTATCTTTTCTTCAATGTATGTTTTTTGGTACCCTTGTCTAGTATGAGATAACTGTTTATGTGGGTGTGTCTCTGTGTCTTCTATTCTGTTTCATTGGTCTTCATGTCTGTTTTGGTGCCAATACCATGCCATATGCTCTGTAGTATAATTTAAGGTCTGGTGTGGGGGGATACATCATGGGTATTAGTGTTATTGCTGTTCTTTATACTGTGCATATATTTAATTATTATTATAAATCCAATTTTAAAATTTTTTTTTAAATTTGAAAAAATTGTTTTCTTCATTTTAATTCAATTCAACAAATGTTTATTGAGCGCTAGATGAACAAGGAGCTGTTGGAAATGGCTAACCAAAAAAAATCCTTAGTATCTTTTTCGTGAGTGTGTGTGTGTGTGTGTGTGTGTGTAGTGTTCAGTATAGGCTCTCATGCATGCTAGGCAAGTGTTCTACCACTGTGTTATTCCCCCAACCCTTTTTATTTTAACACAGGGTCTTGCTTAGTTGTCCAGGTTGGCTGTTAACTTGGATCCTTCTGTCTTGGCCTCCCGAGTAACTAGGATTACAGACATGCACCACTGTGCCTGGCCTTTGTATTTTTTTTAAGTAAAAGAAAAAGCAGTGATGGGGGAAAGGGCCTAGGAATGGCATGGAATCTTGATTTTGGCACCTAGCATCTCAGCAGCATCCTTCTCCTGCTGCATGTCCTCCATGTATCTTTTTCTCCTTCTTATTTAGCAGCCTCAACTTTTCTCTCTCTCCCCTCCTCTCTCTCCCCACTTAATATATATGTGTGTGTGTGTGTGTGTGTGTGTGTGTGTGTATTAGCTATCAATGGACCTTTATTGATTTATTTATCTGCAGTGCTGAGGATCGAACCCAGGGCCTCACATATGCCAGGCAAATGCTCTGTCACTGAGCCACAATCCAGTCCCCTCATCTTCTCTTCTATAACCAAGCTGTGGTCTTCTACAAGGGCCTGGCTTCTCAATCCAGTTTTTCTTGCTGTTTCCTCCAGTAATCATCCTCATCATTGCCTTTCTCCTCACCCCCTTCTCCTTCCTGTTTCTCCTCCCTCTCCCCACTGCTATCACTTTCCCTCCACTTCTCTTGCCTCTTCCTCCTGCCAATGGACTGCTTTTCCAGCTGGGCCTGGAGTTGAGCATTTTCTTCTTGGAATTATTGAAGGAGGGCATCCTTTGGTTCCTCATTGACCCTTGGCTTGTTCTCAATGGTTTTGGCATGGGTGGCATATCTCAAAGTGGTCAGAGTCTCTTCTACATTGTGTAATATAGGACTCACATTGGCTACCGTACAATCTTCGCATCGCTACCAGGGGAATCTGGGAGGAGCCTGGTAAGTTTTGAGTCTGGATATGGAATGTGAGTGCTTTTCTCATCTACCAGGGCAGAGATGGCATTACCCAAGGCTGAAAGGGAAGGTTGATCTTTGTTGCTTCCTTCAGTTTTTCCCCTGTGCACTGGTCTTGACTTGCCATTTACTGCCAACAAGATCTACCAGGTTCCCTACCTGGATGTGGTTTTCTACCATCAAGACTGACTTCACTGCTCTTGATAGTGATGACAGAGGTAGCACAAGAACATGAGCTGTGTTCATTCATGTTGGTAGCACCAAGAGATTGGTTCTGGTTCCCCACATTCATCACATCCTCTATCTCCTTCATGCTTTTGATGACAAAGGAAGATAGGTCTTTGTCTACATTACTGTGTCAGGGCTCTCTTTGAACTCAGCCTTTTGGTCTGATTCTTTGAGAACAGATCTCAGATCTCCTCCTGGTAGATCTCTAAGAAAGAAGCCCTGTCAAGGTACTGCTGATTCTATGATCAAGAGATGTGGGTAAAGATGTGGTCAAATGAATTGGGGATTATCCCTGTTTTTTCAGGGTCACCATGGACTTCTTTCATAGTGTAGGTTTTCCCAGTCCCAGTTTCTCCATAGGCAAAATGGTCCCATTAAAACTTTGCAGGACGGAGTCCATGAGTGGTCAGAACATCTTATCATAGAATCCAAACTGCTTGGTGTTCTAGTCATAGACTGCAAATGAGGCTAAGGTATTGGGCATTTTATGGGCTGTGCCTTCAGAGCTCTTCACAGACAACTTCCCTAGATTTACGTCCAGGTCCACCACCTTTTCATAGGAAATGGTCTTTTCCTTGCATTTATGGGCCGACAGCAAGCCACCACTTGGAGTGTCTCTGAGCTTTTTAACTTAGACATGATGAGCTCTGACCATATCAGTCTTGGGAGCTAAGAATCTAAAATGTCTCAGGATACTAAGGTCCTATGGCCCGAGCCAAAAGCAGGTCTTAGCAGGGACAGAGGTAGCAGCAGCAAACCCCAGGCTCAGTCATTGCCTGCTGTCCTGATGAGGAGAGACTGTGGCTGCTCCATCATTGACATATTCAGAGGAAACAGTCATGACAGTATATATGTAAGAAACAAGATTGAACTAGGCATATTAGTTCAGTAGGAGAAAAAAAAAAAAGACAAGTGTGCTTTCTCACACTAAGGAATTTAAATAGTAGATAACTGACCCCTGGTAAACCTTTCTGTACAGGATTATCTTGCATTGACGGGGTGTGTGTTAGATTATCCCTAAAGTACCTTCCAACTGGAAAAATATCACCTAGAATGTTAACTCTGAAACGAGGACTTTTGTTTTTTGTTCATGGCTATATCCACAGTGTCTAGAACAGTCATTCATTAAGTGATTCTCAGAGTGTGGCTCAGGGAACCTTGGGGAGTGGGGGAGGATCCAAAAGACCCTTTTAATAGCTCTGTGATGTCAAAATTAATTTCTTAATAACATTAAGATGTTCTTTCTGGGGCGGGGGTTGTGGCTCAGTGGTAGAGCACTTGCCTAGCGCGGGTGAGGCACTGGGTTCAATCCTCAGCACCACATAAAAATAAATTTAAAAAAATAAAGGCATTGTGTCCACCTACAACTAAAAATATATTTTAAAAAGTTGTTATTTGCCATTTTCACTCTCATTCATTTATGAGTGTGCAGTGGATTTTTTAGAAGCTATTAGACATGGGATGTTGCAGCAGATTGAATGCAAAAAAGCAAATATGAGAATCAGCTCTACTAGGCATATATTAAAAATACTTGTAAAAATGTAAAACAATAACATTTTATTCATGTTTTTAAAAAATGTAGTTTGTTAAAATGCTATTTATATTAACATATAATGGATTTACTAACACTTTAAGTGAATTGACAAATTGATATATATTAAATAATTTTAGTTTAATTTCCAGTGTAATAAATAATGATAGATGTAGTCCATACAGATAAAAGCACTTTGGAATCTTCAGTAGTTTTTTTGAGTATAAAGGGATCTTGAGATCAAATTGTTTAAAAACCTCTACTATATACTATACTTGAGTTTGGTTACAGTTCAGTGGTTTTAGAAAATGTGAATTTGTGATTCAATTAGTGGTTAAACAAAAAATTTTGATTCAGATAATGATTCAATGAAACATTGACATGTGAAACTACTGTAATAAATTATAGTGATTTGTTAATGTTTTAGGTTCCTGATCATGGTACATTATTTTTTGTAGGTAATTGAAAGAAATAGAGTCATTTTGGCTAAAAGACTCTACCTCAATGAAAAAGGTTGGAATAAATATGCAAGGCATTTCATCATATTGCTGTCAAACAAGGTAAAGCTCAGTCCGCTTATATTATGGGAGAAGAGACTGCAGGTGTTGAGGGTTAGGACCAAATATTGATTTGCTTTGTTAAATTTGCAAAATTTTAAATATAGTTTTATATTTGTGCTTTTTTTGTGGGTAGAATGGAAAAAAATTTAAGGGAGAGTAAATGAAGGCTCTTACTTCCTTAAATTCCTCTTCTATTGTAATTCTGATAATTTGAGCTTAATAACACTATGATGTTTTTCATATAATTATTCTAGTAGTGTTTAAACTAAAAATAAAGTAAGTAGTTGTTTTATGGATACATTCTGTGCAAGTTTATCAGAAAATTCAATGATTTTTAGGGGGGGAGAAAAGGAAGGAATGGGCATTTGATGTGTTTCTATTGAGTCAAACCATTTACACTTGTCATTTCCTTTAATTCTTTTTTTTTAAATTTTTATTGTTGGTTGTTCAAAACATTACATAGTTCTTGATATATCATATTTCACACTTTGATTCAAGTGGGTTATGAACTCCCATTTTTACCCCGTATACAGATTGCAGAATCACATCAGTTACACATCCATTGATTTACATATTGCCATACTAGTGTCTGTTGTATTCTGCTGCCTTTCCTATCCTCTACTATCCCCCCTCCCCTCCCTCCCCTCCCCTCTTCTCTCTCTACTGTCATTCATTTCTCCCCCTTGTATTATTTTTCCCTTTCCCCTCACTTCCTCTTGTATGTACTTTTGTATAACCCTGAGGGTCTCCTTCCATTTCCATGCAATTTCCCCTTCTCTCTCCCTTTCCCTCCCACCTCTCATCCCTGTTTAATGTTAATCTTCTTCTCATGCTCTTCGTCCCTACTCTGTTCTTAGTTACTCTCCTTATATCAAAGAAGACATTTGGCATTTGTTTTTTAGGGATTGGCTAGCTTCACTTAGCATAATCTGCTCTAATGCCATCCATTTCCCTGCAAATTCTATGATTTTGTCATTTTTTAATGCAGAGTAATACTCCATTGTGTATAAATGCCACATTTTTTTTTATCCATTCGTCTATTGAAGGGCATCTAGGTTGGTTCCACAGTCTTGCTATTGTGATTGTGCTGCTATGAACATCGATGTAGCAGTGTCCCTGTAGCATGCTCTTTTTAGGTCTTTAGGGAATAGACCGAGAAGGGGAATAGCTGGGTCAAATGGTGGCTCCATTCCCAGCTTTCCAAGAAATCTCCATACTGCTTTCCAAATTGGCTGCACCAATTTGCAGTCCCACCAGCAATGTACAAGTGTACCCTTTTCCCCACATCCTCGCCAGCACTTGTTGTTGTTTGACTTCATAATGGCTGCCAATCTTACTGGAGTGAGATGGTATCTTAGGGTGGTTTTGATTTGCATTTCTCTGACTGCTAGAGATGGTGAGCATTTTTTCATGTACTTGTTGATTGATTGTATGTCCTCCTCTGAGAAGTGTCTGTTCAGGTCCTTGGCCCATTTGTTGATTGGGTTATTTGTTATCTTATTGTCTAATTTTTTGAGTTCTTTGTATACTCTGGATATTAGGGCTCTATCTGAAGTGTGAGGAGTAAAGATTTGTTCCCAGGATGTAGGCTTCCTATTTACCTCTCTTATTATTTCTTTTGCTGAGAAAAACTTTTTAGTTTGAGTAAGTCCCATTTGTTGATTCTAGTTATTAACTCTTGTGCTATGGGTGTCCTATTGAGGAATTTGGAGCCCGACCCCACAGTATGTAGATCGTAGCCAACTTTTTCTTCTATCAGACGCCGTGTCTCTGATTTGATATCAAGCTCCTTGATCCATTTTGAATTGACTTTTGTGCATGGCGAGAGAAAGGGATTCAATTTCATTTTGTTGCATATGGATTTCCAGTTTTCCCAGCACCATTTGTTGAAGATGCTATCCTTCCTCCATTGCATGCTTTTAGCCCCTTTATCAAATATAAGATAGTTGTAGTTTTGTGGATTGGTTTCTGTGTCCTCTATTCTGTACCATTGGTCCACCCGCCTGTTTTGGTACCAGTACCATGCTGTTTTTGTTACTATTGCTCTGTAGTATAGTTTGAAGTCTGGTATCGCTATACTGCCTGATTCACACTTCCTGCTTAGCATTGTTTTTGCTATTCTGGGTCTTTTATTTTTCCATATGAATTTCATGATTGCTTTCTCTATTTCTACAAGAAATGCCATTGGGATTTTGATTGGCATTGCATTAAACCTATAGAGAACTTTTGGTAATATCGCCATTTTGATGATGTTAGTTCTGCCTATCCATGAACAGGGTATATTTTTCCATCTTCTAAGATTTTCTTCTGTTTCTCTCTTTAGGGTTCTGTATTTTTCATTGTATAAGTCTTTCACCTCTTTTGTTAGGTTGATTCCCAAGTATTTTATTTTTTTTGAGGATATTGTGAATGGAGTGGTTGTCCTCATTTCCATTTCAGAGGATTTGTCGCTGATATACAGGAATGCCTTTGATTTATGCGTGTTGATTTTATATCCTGCCACTTTGCTGAATTCATTTATTAGCTCTAATATTTTCTTTGTAGACCCTTTTGGGTCTGCTAGGTATAGAATCATGTCACCTGCAAATAGTGATAATTTAAGTTCTTCTTTTCCTATTTTTATGCCTTTGATTTCTTTCGTCTGTCTAATTGCTCTGGCCAGTGTTTCAAGAACTATGTTGAACAGAAGTGGTGGGAGAGGGCATCCCTGTCTTGTTCCGGATTTTAGAGGGAATGCCTTCAATTTTTCTCCATTCAGAATGATGCTAGCCTGAGGCTTAGCATAGATTGCTTTTACAATATTGAGGTATGTTCCTATTATCCCTAGTTTTTCTAGCGTTTTGAACATAAAGGGATGCTGTACTTTGTCGAATGCTTTTCCCGCATCTATTGAGATGATCATATGGTTCTTATTTTTAAGTCTATTGATGTGGTGAATAACATTTATTGATTTCCGTATATTGAACCAGCCTTGCATCCCAGGGATGAATCCTACTTGATCATGGTGCACAATTTTTTGATATGTTTTTGTATCCGATTCGCCAGAATTTTATTGAGGATTTTTGCATCTAGGTTCATTAGAGATATTGGTCTGTAGTTTTCTTTCTTTGAAGTGTCTTTGTCTGGTTTAGGAATCAGGGTGATGTTGGCCTCGTAGAATGAATTTGGAAGTTCTCCCTCTTTTTCTATTTCCTGAAATAGCTTGAAAAGTATTGGTATTAGTTCCTCTTTAAAGGTTTTGTAAAACTCTGCTGTATACCCATCCGGTCCTGGGCTTTTCTTAGTTGGTAGTCTTTTGATGTTTTCTTCTATATCCTCAATTGATATTGGTCTGTTTAGGTTGTCTATATCCTCCTGACTCAATCTGGGCAGATCATATGACTTAAGAAATTTATTGATGCCTTCACTATCTTCTATTTTATTGGAGTATAAGGATTCAAAATAATTTCTGATTATCTTCTGTATTTCTGAAGTGTCTGTTGTGATATTTCCTTTTTCATCCCGTATGCTAGTAATTTTAGTTCTCTCTCTTCTTCTCTTCGTTAGCATGGCTAAGGGTCTGTCGATTTTATTTATTTTTTCAAAGAACCAACTTTTAGTTTTGTCAATTTTTTCAATTGTTTCTTTTGTTTCGATTTCATTAATTTCAGCTCTGATTTTAATTATTTCTTGACTTCTACTTCTTTTGCTGTTGTTTTGCTCTTCTTTTTCTAGGATTTTGAGATAAAGTATGAGATCATTTATTTGTTGGTTTTTTCTTTTTTTAAGGAATGAACTCCAAGCAATGAATTTTCCTCTTAGAACTGCTTTCAATGTGTCCCATAGATTCCGATATGTTGTGTCTGTGTTTTCATTTATCTCTAAGATTTTTTAAATTTCCTCCTTGATGTCTTCTATAACCCATTGATCATTCAGTAACCTACTGTTCATTCTCCAAGTGATACATGATTTTTCCTTCCTTCTTTTATCGTTGATTTTTAGTTTCATTCCATTATGATCCGATAAGATGCATGGTATTATCTCTACTCCTTTATATTGTCTAAGAGTTGCCCTGTGACATAATATATGATCTATTTTTGAGAAGGATCCATGTGCTGCTGAGAAAAAAGTGTAACTGCTTGATGTTGGGTGGTATATTCTATATATGTCAATTAAGTCTAGGTTATTAATTGTGTTATTGAGTTCTATAGTTTCCTTATTCAACTTTTGTTTGGAAGATCTGTCCAGTGGTGAGAGAGGTGTGTTGAAGTCTCCCATGATTATTGTATGGTGGTCTATTAGACTCTTGAACTTGAGAAGAGTTTGTTTGATGAACATAGCTGCACCATTGTTTGGGGCATATATATTTATGATTGTTATGTCTTGTTGGTGTATGGTTCCCTTGAGCAGTATGTAGTGTCCCTCTTTATCCCTTTTGATTAACTTTGGCTTGAAATCTATTTTATTTGATATGAGTATGGACACTCCTGCTTGTTTCCGAAGTCCATATGAGTGATATGATTTTTCCCAACCTTTCACCTTCAGTCTATGTATGTCTTTTCCTATCAAATACGTCTCCTGTAGGTAGCATATTGTTGGGTCTTGTTTTGTGATCCATTCTACTAGCCTGTGTCTCTTAATTGGTGAGTTTAAGCCATTAACATTTAGGGTTATTATTGAGATATGGGTTGTTCTTCCAGCCATATTTGTTTATTTATGTTACTAAACATGGTTTGTTTTCCTCTTTGATTATTTTTCCCCCTTTACTGTCCTACCTCCCACTGTTGGTTTTCACTGTTATTTTCCATTTCCTCTTCCTGTAATGTTTTGCCGAGGATGTTTTGAAGAGATGGTTTTTGTAGCTGCAAATTCTTTTAACTTTTGTTTATCGTGGAAGGTTTTTAATTTCATCTTCCATCCTGAAGCTTAATTTCACTGGATACACAATTCTTGGTTGGAACCCATTTTCTTTCAGTGTTTGAAATATGTTATTCCAGGATCTTCTAGCTTTCAGAGTCTGTGTTGAAAGATCAGCTGTTATCCTGATTGGTTTACCCCTAAATGTAATCTGCTTCCTTTCTCTTGTAGCTTTTAAAATTCTCTCCTTATTCTGTATGTTGGGCATCTTCATTATAATGTGTCTAGGTGTGGATCTCTTATGATTTTGCACATTCGGTGTCCTGTAGGCTTCTAGGATTTGGGATTCTGTCTCATTCTTCAAGTCTGGGAAGTTTTCTCGTATTATTTCATTGAATAGATTGCTCATTCCTTTGGTTTGGACCTCTATACCTTCCTGTATCCCAATGACTCTTAAGTTTGGTCCTTTATGTTATCCCATATTTCTTGGATGTTCTGCTCATGGTTTCTTAACAGTCTTGCTGAGCTGTCTGTGTTCTTTTCAAGTTGAAATACTTTGTCTTCATTGTCTGATGTTCTATCTTCTAAGTGTTCTACTCTGCTGGTAGTATTCTCAATTGAGTTTTTAAGTTGGTTTATTGCTTCCTGCATTTCTAGGATTTCTGTTTGTTTGTTTTTTATAACCTCTATCTCCTTGTATAGTTGATCTTTTGCTTCTTGGATTTGTTTATGTAATTCATTGTCGAAGTGATCTTTCATTGTCTGATTTTGCTGTCTAATGTCTTCCTTGAGACTCCAGATCATCTGAAGCATGTATATCCTGAATTCTTTATCTGACATTCCATCTGCTGCAACTATTACCTCTTCTAAAGTTGAGTTGACCTGCATTGCTTGTGGTCCTTTCTTTCCTTGTCTTTTCATACTGCTCGCGTTTCTTTCTGCTTGGTGAAACTGTTGTGTTTTTGAAATTTTCCCCCTATATATTTATATTGCTCTTGTATAGTTGAAAAGTCTCCCTTGCAGGGGCGGGCGGCGGCTGTGCTCCTCCTCCAATTGGGGTGATATGTCTACCACGCTGACGGGCCGCTGGGGCTGTTCTGCTGGTCGGTCGCAGGTCTGCCTACCTTGGAGGCGCGGGCGGCGGCTCTGCTCTGCCCTTACTCCTTTAATTTTTAAAACCATTTGATGAGATATGTATTAGGGATTTTTTATAAGCACATGGATACTTTTTAAATATATCTTTATTTTATTTATTTATTCTATGTGGTGCTAGGGATTGAACCCAGCGCCCTGCATGTGTCAGGCGAGCGCGCTATTGCTGAGCCACAACCCCAGCCCCAGGATTTTGTTTTAAACAGGTTTTTTTTTTTTTTTTTTTTTTTTTTGACCAAAAGAACCAAGAAGAACGATGTAGAGGGGGAAAAGTTTATTTGGCACTCAAGTTTTAGAGGTCTCAGTCCACGGTTTGCGGATTCCAAACCTCAGGACTGGAGATGAGGCAGACTATCATGGCAGGAGGGTGGGGCAGAAGAAAGCAGCTCAAAACACAGCAACCAGAAAGCAGAGAGAATTTCATTCCCCAGGGACAAAATATAAACCCCAAAGGCACACCCCAGTAACCTACCTCCTCCAGCTACACCTAGCTCGCCTAGTTAATTCATATCTGTGGATTAATACACTGATTGGGTCACACCTCTCATAATCATTTCACCTCTGACTGGCTTCCTGGTTCTTGTTATTGCCAGTGTATCACCTGCCCCTGTGAAAGTCCATGTTTGGAAAATTTGGTCCATGTTTCAGAAGGAAAGTCTTATCCCTAATATTTAAAATATCATTGAAAATTATGTCACTAATGATATTTTGAAAGAGGAATTTCTTCATAAAGTTTTGATACATTTTCTATGGATTGTTCTAAGTATTGTAATATTAATAATGGCCTGGTTAATATTAATAATGTTAATAAATATTTGTTACATGAATAAGTGGATAATTAGATTCTGTGCATTTTAGGACACTGTAGACCTTGCAGTGTTACAGAAGTTGACAGTGAAATGGAAAATCTCAATGAACAAATTTAAAAAGGAGGCAGAACGAAACGAAGAATCTACAAAGGAGACATTGCAGATAATTAAAGATGGCCTTATCAAATGGCAGCAGTTCTTCATAAATAAGTGGGTCTCCAAGAATCTTTTTTTTCTGATTTTATCATATCACATCTGATAACTCAATCCAATTCTCTCTGTCTCTTTCTCTCCTACTTTGTAATTACTCTAACATTGATATTAGGGAAATTAACCAGCATCCCTTACTAGGGCAGAATGCTGTTAAGGACCTTGAACCCTCTGGTGGTTTGTAGTGCTCATTATTTCCGAGGTCCCTTTTGATCTCCTTGCCTTACTGCTGTTGCCTTCATTTTTTTAAAAAAAATTTTTTTTAGTTGTCAATGGACCTTTATTTTCTTTGTTTATATAAAGTGCTGAGAATCAAACCTAGTGCCTCACACATGCGAGGCAAGCACTGAGCCCCAGCCCCTGTTGCCTTCATTTAAGTCCAACTATTTTTCTTTTCTCTCTTTTTAAAATAAAGTCAATTTATGTTATACTGTTGGCACACTTGAATATCCAAATATCTGAATATTTGCAAATTCTGTAGCATAGTGCATTTTAGAGAAGTAGAATCAATGGGTGACATTTACAGAAAGATCAATTTTGATTGAATATCATATTTTTTAATGATTAGAGTACTGATAATGGAAGAAGCTAATAACAAGTTAGTGAAGTTGAGACTGGATGAATCACTATCCAAAGTATAATGGGCATCTATACTTTGGATATAGACAGGATAATTTCTAAGTATTTTTTCTTCAGCTTTAAGATACATTGTCAAAGAGACATCTTTTAGGTACCATTTCTGTGTCAACTTGAGTACAGTAGTTTCAGTTTTTCACAAACCCTAAAAAGTTTCCTACTTAGTAGATTGGAAGTTCTGGAAATGGAAACTGGTATATCTCCAGGCTGATTGCTGCTGCCATGTGCATACTTCTCTGACTCTTATCTGTGAGACTAGCACGGTTGGCCATAATTCACTCTTCTTTTTTAAAAATAGGCTTTCCTTCTGAGACTTTGGAGAAATTAAAAGAAGCTCCTGTATGTGTCAGGAATTTTTCTTATATCGATCTAGTTTTGAGTTCCCGCCCTTTTAAAAAGATACTATTGTTTCCCATGGTCCTGTGACAATTGCTCAGGTTCACTTAGAATCTAAAAATAAAAATAAAAAATATATATGTGTAAATTTAAAAATGAATGCTCACAGTGAAGCCCACTAATTTATACAATAAACACAATTTTATTATGTTAATAAAAAATAAGGATGATTGTCTATGGGGTGAGGGTTGAATCTGGAAAGCATGTCTAAAAATTGTTGAGGAGAATTGTTACTGTATGGACCTATGATTTTCTTTGTTTATACCTCATTCTAAGACCTTTCTCTTGCTCTTTTTTCTTCTTCCAGTGCAAAAGACATTTTATCCTCAAATAAGGGAAATTTATGCAATTTAGTTCTTTCAGACTTCAGGCAATGGCAAAGGGTAAGACTTTCTAAAAACAGCTTGGAAATTGAAGTGTTGGTTGTAAAATTGGAACTCCTCACCTCCATCTGAGTTACAGCTTATCCTTTAAAAGTACCATTATTAGTTTTATGAAAGACAAAACAGAAAGACCACAATGATTTAAAAATATGCTTAAACATTGTAAGTTCTATTTCAGATTTTGGGGTAAAATAAAGTTAGGCTGCTAGTGGGAACAAAGGGATCAGATACCTGGGTAGAAGTGAGGGAGTAGTTCAGATTCTGTCATTTGGACATAAGTAACATTTGTGCTTCTTTTGACACAAATCTGGCTTTTGTCTTAAGGACAGATTGGACTTTAAAAATTAATAACATATTTTTTGCATGATGGTACATGCCTGTAATCCTAGTGGCTTGGGAGACTGAGGCAGGAGGATCTCGAGTTCAAAGCCAGCCTCAGCAATAGCAAGGTACTAAGCAACTCAGTGAGACCCTGTCTCTAAATAAAATACAAAATAGGGCTGGGGATATGGCTCAGTGGTGGAGTGCCCCTGAGTTCAATCCCCAGTACCCCCCCAAGAAAAATTAATAACATCTTTTTTACTGTAGTAAAACATACATAATATTACATATATATTTTTTAAAATTTATTTAACCATTAATCACATCTTTTTAAAATTTTTTTTTTTTTAGTTTTAGGTAGACACAATATTTTATTTTTATGTGGTGCTGAGAATCAAACCCAATAACTCACACATGCTAGGCAAGTGTGCTACCACTTGAGCCACATCCCCAGCCCTAATTACTTCTTTTAAAATGGGGTTGACCTTTGAAAATAAGTTTCATTAATTAAATTATTATGTTACAGTAGTCTGCCAAAAACATACTAAACTGAAATACTTCCAAGGTTAATAGCAAATTCATGATCTAATGAAATCTCATCTAGATTCCCAAGAACCCATTTTCTTTACTTTTGGGATCATAATATTCTCATGTTTGTGGTCTGTATACTATATATCTACTTTAGAGACTTTTTACTATATACTGGCAGTTTTGATGTACATAGATAAAATTTAAAAAGTCATGTTTACCAGGAATAATAATAATTGTCATTATTAAAAACTTATTCTTTGTTAGGCTGAAAGTGCTTTCCATGTGTTATCTTACTTTTTTGGCAACTACATGGTGCAGATCTTGTAATCCTTATCTTACATATGCAGAAATTAAAGCATAGAAGTGTTAAATTACTTAAGTTATCTATGAATAGTAAGTGGCACAGTGAGCATTTGAATCTGGGTCTAATTCCAAAATTCCTACTCTTAGTTGGTCTGTTAAAATTCTTCCTTACAGTGATTACTCTTAATAAAAGGTGGTTGATAAATCTATTTATCTGAGTAACAAATAATGACAAACTTTATGTCTAAATTGTTCTTTATTTTTTTCACTAATATTTATTGGTATTTCTTGTTTAGGACTTGGACTTGGGAGAGACCAATAAATTTTATATGAATCAAACACTTATTCATGCTAGTAAATTTTCCAGTATAATGGGGATCATGTAAACAGACGTATTACAACCTTGCTATAATAAAACATGTTCAGCTCTTTAGGACTTAGCCTGTCCCTCATAGGATTCAATATAATGATTTTCATCCTGGCAAACTGTGCATTATTTCATAGGTATTAAAATTAAGTTAAATTTATATTGCTTTTAAAAATAAAATGCTTTCGTACACCACTTTTTTGGAGAAGAAATGGTATGAACAATAGTAAAATGGCTATGTAACTCCAAAGTAATCAAGGATAACTGGGGAATAAGGATCTAGGTAGACTTTGATGAATAATGTGCTACTTCCTCCTCCTCTTTATTCTCTAGATGCTGGATGAACAGAAGGAAAAGTATACTGGGGATGCTCTAATGTCAAAACATGATACCCTCAAGATTATTAAACATTTACAGGAAAACTGGGTGAATATTGGGCTTGGAATTTTTAGTCGCCATAAAAATATGGAGGGGGAGGTGCCACCAGAGCGACGGGACATGGAGGACATTTTGAAAAGCATAGGAAGACTCTACAAAGAATATGAAATAAGAATAAGTGGAGATAATGGTAAGAAAAAAAACAATGACAATTTCTTAGGACTAGAAAGCATTTTAACAGTAATTATTATTTTGAATGTATTTAGTAGCTAAAATGAAAGTGATCATATCGTTTTAAAAACAAGCTGATTAAAGCATTGAGCATTATTTTATTGAGGTTAATTTACATATACTATATAAATCACCTATTTAAATTGTACAGAATGTATTCAGTCAGGTGTATCTGTTATTACATTTTGATTGTTTATTTTTTATCACAATCAATTTTAGAATATTTTTATCACAGTATAAATAAACCTATATCCTTTAGCTTTTACCCTTATCTCCCCTTGCTAACCTAGTCCTAAGTCTACCTCTGTCCCTATAGATTTCCCTGTTCTGGCCTTTCATGTGAATGAAATCTATACTTTGTGATCTTATATAATTATAAAAGACTTCTTTCACTTGGCATTATGTTTTCAGGTTTCACTTGTGTTGTGGTATGCATCACTACTTCATTCACTTTTATGGCCAAATAATATTCCATTGCATATGTATGTCACATTTTATTAGTTCATCTATTGATAGACATTTTGGTTGCTTTCCTGTCCTGGCTATTATGAATACAAATGCTGGTATAGTCATTTGTGTACACATTTCTGTGTGGACATGTGTTTGCTTTTCATCTCTGTTTGATGTGTCCCCAAGAGTGGAATTCCTGTTCATTTGGTAACTCTATATTGAACTTTTGGAGACTGCCACAGTTTTTAAAGAGGCTGCATTATTTTACATTCCCACTAGCAAGTATGAGGGTTCTGATATTATTACACTTGTGGTTATCTTAATTTTTTTATTCTTGCCATAGTAGTGTGTGTGTGAAATAAATATCTTATGGTTTTGATTTATGTTTTCCTGATGACAAATTATTTCAGGCATATTTAAAAAGCTCTTTGACTATTTGTATATTTTCTTTGGGTTAAGTGTACATTCAGATCTTTTTCTCATGTTTTATAATTGAGTTGTAAGAGTTCTTTATATATTCTGGATACAGGTCCTTTTTCAGATATCTGAACTGCAAATATCTCCTCCCACTCTGTAGGCTGTCTTCATTTTCTTGATAGTGTCCTATTATTGATAGCATTTTTCTGTCATAACTAAAAATCCTTTGCCAAATTCAAAGTCATGAAGGTCTTGTCCATTTTATCTAGGTCATATAATTTTTTAGCACAGTTGTTCATGGGATTTATTTATAATTTTTTTTATTTCTGTAGAGTTGGTAGTTATTCCCTTTTTCATTTCTGATTCTAGTAAATTGAGTTTTCAGGCTTTTTCTTTGTAAAACTAGGTAAAGATTTTTTAAAATTTTTTTATCTTTTCAAAGAACCAGCTTTTGGATTCATTTATTCTGTATATTGTGTTTAATTTCTCTGTCATTTTTTACTATAGTTATAATTATTTCCTTCCTTCTGGTTGCTTTAGGTTTAGTTTGTTTTCCTATTTTTAGTGTCATATGATGAAAGGCTAGATTATTGATTTCTTTCTTCTTTCTTAATTTAGGCACTTAGAGCTATAAATTTTCCTTTTTAGATCTGCTTTTCCTAATTTCCATAAGTGTGGGTATGCTTAATTTTTCATTTTATTCATCTCAAGTATTTTATGAGTTTCCTTTTCTGGTTCAGTGGTTATCTGGAATGTTATTTCCACACATTTTTGAGTTTCCTAAATTTTTCTATTATTGAATTCCAATTTCATTCTATTGTGGGTTGATATACTTGACATTATTTCTGTCCTTTTAAGTTTATTGAGGTTTGTTTTATGGCCTAGCACCTTGTCTTCTTGGAGAATGAATGTTCTTGTGTATTTGATAAGAATGCAAGTTTTTTGGGTAGAGTGTTGTATAACTGTCTGTTAGGTCTATTTGGTTTTATAATGTTGTTTAAGTCTCATATTTCCTTGTTGAACCTCTGTTAATATTTTTGTGGGTAGGGTATTGGAGTCACTATTATGTTTTAATTACATACTTCTTTTATTTCTCTTAGTTTTTGTTTTATATATTGTTGTGCTGTGTTATTGGATGCATACATGTTTATAATTGTTTAGCTTCTTCATGATTTGACCCTTTTATCAGTATAAAGTATTACTTTATTTTTAGTAACACTTTTTATTTTAAAGTTTATTTTTCTGATATTATTTGTTTTCTGATTTGTTTTTCCAATGGTTGCTATGTGGTGGTATACTTTTTTTTTTCTCCTCCTGGTATTTCTGAGCTACATCCTCAATAAAGCTGTGCCTAATTTTAGTGTAATAGTAGAAGACACATTGAAGAAGGCAGTGAAGAATTACACACATCATCCCTCCTGCAATTCCATGCAGAACAGTGTGAAAAGAGATACTTTCACTTGGGGAGGGAGAGAGAATTAAGTCCACACCTTAGACTTAAAACCTAGTACCAGGTCCACCATGATGAAACCAAATGCCAGACAGGACCCCATAGCCCCTCTCCTTGGGCCAGTACTTGCAGACTGAGCTTTTAAACCCTTCATAGCATGGTAGCCATGGGAATGCTGCCACCACCTCTTCCCCAACCTTGAGCAGACAGCTTAAAGTAAGACTTTTGAACTACAGGGGAGCAAGGACAGGAAAGTAAACAAGACTGCCATGGAGCTCAGAGAAGAATCTACTTCCATTAGACCCAGCACAATATAGAGCCCAAATGTCCCAATTCCTAGGTCAGTTCTAATAGAAGCCTCTAGTCCTGCCTCAAGCATCAGTCAGAGAGATATATCCTAGTAGAATGAACTCATGTTTCATCCTGCATCACTGGCAACTGTATCAGGCCTAATGTGCACCCTTAAGACTGCATATATCTTTGTGGTTGTCAGATTTAGGTGTAACCCAGCTTAGTGTCAGCCTGGGCAGCCAAGGACTTGCCTCCACCATCCCTCCACCAACCTCAGGCAGACAGCAAGAAGTAAGACACCACTAGTAGAGGGAGTAAGGCAGGAAAGTGAACACAGAACCATGTCTTGGAACTCAGTGCCAGGCTGGTAAAACCTAACATTGGGAAGATCCTAATGGTCCCTATCCCCAGTGCCTACCCAGTGGAGCTTTTGGATCCACCTGGTGCCAGATGACTTCACTGAAGAGTTCTAAAAAATATTTAAATGAGAACCAATACCACTTCTTATTAAATTATTCCAAAAAATTGAAGAGGAGGAAATTCTTCCAAACTCTTTCTGTAAGGCCAGCATTACCCTGATACTAGAAGCAGACAAGGCAGCAATGAAAGAAAGTGATAGGCCCATATCCTTGATGAACATATATGAGGAAATCCTTGCCAAAATACTAACAAATCAAATCCAACAGCACATTAAAAAGATCATCAAATCATGCTCAGTAACACATGCTTGTAGTCTCAGGTACTTGGGAAACTGAGGTAGGAATATTGCTTGAGCCAGGAAGTTCAAGGCCACTCGGGAAAACAAATCAGTAATGCCACATCAATTGAAAGGCAAAAACCTTGTGATTTTCTCAATAGATTCAGAAAGGCATTTAATAAAATTCAGCATCCTTTCATGATAAAAACTCTGAACAAATTAGGTACAGAAGGAACGTATCTCCACATAATAAAGGTCAGATACAAGCCAACAGCTAACATCACATACTGAATGGGAAAAGTTGAAGTCTTTCTAAGATCTGTAACAAGACAATGATGCCCACTTTTACCACTTATTCTACATAGTACTGGAAATCTTAGAGCAACTAAGCGAGAGAAAGAAATGAGGCGTTTAAATTGTATTGGGGGACATCAAACTCTAACTGTATGCAGATGACATGATTTCATATATAGAAAACTTTAAAGACTACCAAAAAACTATTGGAATGTAAATTCAGCAAAGTAACAGAGCAGAAAATTAATATGCAAAAGTCAGTAGCCATTACTATACATTGATAGTGAATTATCTGAAAAAGAAACCAATAATGCAATTCCATTTCCTGTATTTACAAAACAACACAACAATAAAAAACAAACCAAATCCTAGTAATAAATTTTAAATCAAAGAAGTGAAAGATCTCTACAATGAAAACTATAAAATGGGAAAGAAACTAAAGAGAACACAAAGAAATGGAAAGACACCCTCTGTTCATGGATTGGAAGAATCAGTATTCTTAAAATGTCCATACTGCTCAGAGTGATCCACAGATTTAATATAATCCTATCAAAATACAAATGAGATTAGTTATGGAGCTAAAAAATCCTAAAATTTGTATGAAACCACAGAAAACAGATAGAGAAAGCAGTCTTGAACAAAAAGTACAAAGCGTGAGGCATCATAGTACCTAATTTCAAAATATACAACAAAGCTATAGTAATTGAAAACAGCATGCTATTGGCATAAAAAAGAGCACATCAATAAATGGAACAGAATACTAGAAGTACACCCATGTATCTACAAGCACATGACCTTTGATTACATTTATAGAACATGCATTGGAAGAAAGTCTTCTTAATAAATGATGCTGGAGAAATTGGATATCCATATGAAAAAGAATGAAACTAGACCCTTATCTCTCACTATATTAAAAAAACCAAAATGAATTAAAAACTTTAAGACCTGAAATGATGCCCTAGAATTAAGAATATGGAGTATATAGTTAATACAATGATGCTTATGATGAATGGATGGTGAAAAGACAAGTACAGAATCTAAGAAACTACAACAGTCTCTTCAAGTTGAGAACGTTCCCTTCTAACACTGGTTTGTTGAGTATTTCTATCATGAATGTTATTAGTTTTTGTCATATGTGTCTATTGAAATGATCATGTAGTTTTGGCTCTTTATTATTATAGTGCATCACACTGATTGGTTTTTATTAAGCCAGCCTTACATTTCTGGGATAAATCCAAGTTGGTCACATGTATAATACTTTTATATATGACTGGATTTAGTTTCCTAGTATTTTGTTAAGAATTTCTGTGTAAATTTATAAGGGATAGTGGTCAATAGTTTTCTTGTGATGTCTTTGGTA